GTAAAACAGTGCAGCTACTGTGGAAACTGGCAATTCTTCAATAAGTTAAAGATAGAATTCCCCCCCCCCCCACCAAAAAAGATAGAATTCCCATATGATCCAGCAGTTCCACTTCTGGGTATAAGTGTGTGTGTGCGTGCTCAGTTGATCAGTCGTGTCCAATTCTTAGCCTGCCAGGCTCCTCTATCCATGGAATTTTCCAGGCAAGAATACTAGAGTGGGTTGCTGTTTCCTACTGCAGGTTGCTGGGGTCCAGCCTCGGCAGGATCCAGGGGATACCCTCAGGATGAACAGCGTTGGTGAGAGAGAGAGAGAGAGAGTGACCAGACGGGGGGTGCAGAGTCTGGCAATGCTTTTTTTTTTTTGCTTTATTTTTTACCATAGCTTTTATACCCTAAGTTAGTACATTTCTAAGGGGAAGATAGTATAACATTACATTAGCTTGTTCTTCACGAAACCAGGGTGTTTTCTGCATACTTCTTTGTTTATGAGGGTCTTGTACATTATCTTCTGGCCTTGGGGCCTATTAACATTTTATGCAAGTCAGCTGAATGTAAACCTATTTTCTGTTTCTATGGTGACCTTAACTGAAAGGTAGCGGTCTCATAGGGCAACAGTACAGAGTAGAAGTATAACCTTGTTAACACAAAAATTAATCCTTCTGCAGAAGTTGTCAGTTGTGTTTATCTAAGAAGTTTACCCCACACTGACTCTGCGACTTTGGTGAGGCAGCCTCTGCCTAGCACTCCTGGCTGACAATTAACAACCATCTCATTGTTACCACACTAGGGCTAAGTCCTTATTTCTCTAGATCTTTAACTATATTAACAATGGTTTCTATAACACAACCTTAGCACATTAAAAGCAAACACACAGCAAGCGAAACACAGCAAGCAAATCTCAACCCCAAACCACCTATAGAATAATTTTTCTTATGTTTTCTAATAGGACTCCTTTACCCCTTAAAAAGGCTCTATGTCTATTAGGGCTTTTATATAATCAGGTTCTTTATGTTATTTTATGATTAGGATATTATAAGCAATCATGCATATTAGTACCAGGGTATAAATGCATTTGGCTAACAAACTATCAGCAAAGGAGTTTAAATTAAAACACTCCTTTCACCCTGAATAATCTCATAAAATACCACCACCTGGGAAACTTATTGATTAAAGTTCTAAATTGATTCTTATTTGGGAAGAGATCGGGGAAGGCCTTCCTGCCTGTGTCACAGAAATTAGGGAGTAGTCCATTGAGGCAGGCGTCAGAAAGACAGAGATCATCTTTAAGGTGAGCGCCGGGGGCAGCTTTTCGAAACCCCTGAGAACCTGATCCTCCTTGCCCATCAGGCTTTCTCCTCATGACCTTGTCATGGATAGGGTCTCGTGTGTTGGCTCCCGGCAGCAGGGGATCTTCCTGACCCAGGGATCGAACCCACATCTCTTGCATCTCCTGCATTGGCAGGCAGATTCTTACCATTGCACCACCTGAGAAACCTCTGAGTATATATCCAAAATAACTGAAAACATATTCAAACAAATACTTGTACATGAGTTTTTGCAACAGCCTAGTCACAAAAGCCAAAAGGTAGAAACAACCCAAATATCCATCAACTGATGAATGGATAAAGAAAATGACATCTATACAGACAATGGAATATAATTCATCCATAAAAAGGATTTAAGTAATGGTATATGCTACAATGTGGAAACACAGTGCTAAGTGAAATAAATCAGATACAAAAGGTCATATATTTAATGATTTCCACTTAAAGGAAATACTCAGAATACGTAACTCTATAAACACAGAAGGGCTTCCCTGGTGGCTCAGTTGGTAAAGAATCTGCCTGTAATGCAGGAGATCTGGGTTCAATCCCTGGTTTGGGAAGATCCCCTGGAAAAAGGAATGGCAACCACTCCAGTATTCTTGCTTGGAGAATTCCATGGACAGAGGAGTCTGTCAGGCTACAGTCCACGGGGTCAGAAAAGAGCTGGACATGACTGAGTACGGATGCACTTCAAAAAGCTATTATAAATATGCTCCTGGACATAGAGAAAACATGAATATAGTAGAAAAAAATGATCAGTGATTTCAAAGATACAGCAATAAAAGCTACCCAAACTGAAACCACAGAGGGAAAAAAAAAGATTAATGACTTGTGGGATAGTGTCAACCAAAAGGGGCATGCAATAAGTATGTTTGAGAAAGTAATGGCTGAAATTTTTGCAAATTTAAAGAAAAAATTATATATTCACAGATTCAGGAAATTAAATGAAGACCGACTAGGAAAAACACAAAGAATTCATAACTAAATTGATGAAAAGCAGTGATAAAGAAACAATTTTTAAAATAACCAAAGAGATTTACATGCAGAGGAACAAAAAAATAAGCATGACTGTAGAGTTTTTATCAGAAAAAAAAATCCAAGCCAGAAGAAAAAGCAATGACATCATTAATGTACACAAGGCGGGGAAAAGCCAATCTAGAGTTTTTGAACCAATCCCTAAAAGTGCGGCATATAGAAAACATTGCTTCCCTGGAGGCTCAAATGGTAAAGAATCTGCCTGCAGTGCAGGAGACTCAGGTTCGATCCCTGGGTCAGGAAGAGCCCCTGGAGAAGGGAATGGCAACCCACTCCAGTGTTCTTGCCTGGAGAATCCCATGGACGGAGGAGAAGAGGCTGGCAGGCTACAGTCTATTGGGTTACAAAGAATTGGACACGACTGATTGAATAACACACATAGAAAGCACATAGCACAGGTTACACATGAGAAACTGTCTGTGGTTAAAGCAGAACTCAGTGTTAAAACATTAGAATAGCAAGCTCAGGGCTGCCAAACAGACACGGTGACTCTTCAGGCTGGAAATGAACAGAATCTGGTGAGAAACGTGGTCTCGGGAAACCACAGGGGCCTTTAGTGGAAAAGCCCCTGCCAATGGAAATAGCTGACATAAATCATTAAATGACTTGGGCATTGATGGGAAATGGATGCAATTAAATGTTCTATTACATTAAAAATGGTTTCATATTATTGACATCTTATAATCAAGAAAACTGATACAGACTATAGAAAATAAAGATGCAATTGAAGAACTAAAACAGTACTAGTATCAGGAGTGAAAGACTATGTTCCTACCAAATCCTTCAAGCATTGACCAGAAAATAAGGATTTATTGTCAACAACCTCCCACAAGATACTTGATAACTTAGATGAAATGGAAAATTCACTGAATGAGTGGGAATATTTCCCAGATATAATCAATAACAAATAAAGTGAAAAGCTCTATGCCTACAAGGACAGAGAAGAGCAGGAAAAGAAGGGCTTGACAACCACTTGGACAGGCTGAAAGGGACGAGAGCTAGACTCACTGCGGAGGGTCTGAGGTGGGTAGCGGGGCCATGAGCCGGGCAGGAGGCATAGCTAGGTACTCCCCACCAGTGGGCAGCAGGAACAGCAAGTAGACAGCAGGAGCCTCGTAAACTCATCAACAAGTCAGGACCAGGGGTGGGGCATGGAGCAGTCCCACACAGCTGCGGAGGGCAGTGGGCACCGCTGGCCACTGGTCGGTAGGCCAGCCCCTCTTCTCCCTGCCGCCTCCCCGGAACCCGCAGTCAAAGGCAGTCTCAGCCCTGCCATTCTCCCACTGAGAACATGGCCATTAAGCAGCAGCAGCCCCAAATGAGTGAATTTCAGCAAAAAAGAATTCTGCAGCGTGAACTTCATTACATTCACTTAATTATTACATCATTTTTTCAGTGGTCATTTGACTCATCCACTTGCTCGTTTTAAATCTGCTATTATGTGTTTTCTCTTGGGGCCATTATTTACACCCAGTCCATTTTCCTCTTGTTTAAATATCCTTGCAGATATAAATTTTGTCAAGAAGTTTTTATTTTCTCATCAAGTGTCAGTTGACAGTTTTATTGCATGCCTTCAGGTTTGTCCTGAATGCATTATTGATTTAGGGTATTTATTATGCATTCAAGAAAAAGTGGACCGTGCATTGAACTTTTAGCTGACCCATGGGGAAATCACATGTGGTTTGGGGGGCCTCATCCAGGAAACCCACAGTTGCGGGGAGTGAGCACATGGCAGGCCAAACCCCCAGGTCGAGATGATTTGGCCTGAAGTTCCTGCTTCACGGTCTCCAGCCTCCTTAACACCCTGGAGACCAGACTCACTCGGAGAGCCTGCCTCTCGGACGGCAGAGTGTCACAGTCCATGTGGGCCCCGCCTGTCCTGTGTGTCATAGTCCATGTGTGGGCCCCACCCTTGCTGCCCCTCAGTGTCCAAGTCTGAGGAGATATCAGCTGCGTCCCCATCTGCATTAGGGTGGAGCCCACCGCCCATCCTGTCCCCAGAGCAGCCTGAGCCTGCAGCAGGAGGACCTGCTGTGCTCCCCAGCACCTGGGACTCCAAGCGGGGCTCTCCTCTCCCGCTCCCAGGGAGGGCTATGGACCCAGGTACCCCAGGTCACCCCAGGCAGCTGCCTGGGCCTCTCCTAGGAGGGCGCCTTTGGGTTGTAGATGGTCTTGTCTCTAGATCATGTGTCCAGACTCAAACAGGGGACGCCCCTCCTGACTGTCTCTCAGGGGTGTCTCTGAACCAGCCTGTGCAGGTGGGTGCTGGCACTGCCATCGGGGCCTGCGCAGGGCTCTGGAGTCTGGGCATCCTTCTGTTTGTCATCCTCTTCCTCACAAACAGAGGTAGGCGAGCAACCCTGGGGGGGCGCATAGACCAACCTGGATCATACCCTGAGCCCCAGCCACCCTGGCCTGGCCACTCAGGGGGGACCAAGGACCAAGCCACAGGCCCTGGGCTCCAACGAGGCCTCTCCCCAAAGCTGTGACCCACTGACCCTGAGCAGGCCAGGGCCCTGGGTCACCACGGCAGCATCGCCCCAGGGCCCCGACCCGCCGTTGTGTGCTCCGAGCGCACACATGCGCACCCAGGGCTCCTGCCGGCTTCTGCCCGTGTGGCTCCTGGGAATCGGGTGATATGCAGCTGTGTCCCTCACGGCTGTGTGTCCCTCACGGCTCCGTATGTCTGGGGAGGGCGCTTCCTTCAGAGGCAGCCGCGGCTGTGGGAGCTGACCCATGTCGTGGCCTGGATCTGGTCCTTCCAGCTGGGGCTGACCATGAGCCTGGTGTGGGTCTGGCACCGGTTCCAAGGTACTTGGCTGTCCAGGGAGGCCACCTGAGGAAGGGTCCTGAGTGCCCAGCCCAGGGCCAGCTCAGGTTGGGGGTGCGGCAGGGCAGGGTGGCAGGCAGCCCCAAACGGGGATCTAGGGAAGGGGACAGACTTGGGGGCCTGCCCAAGGCGAGAGAACAGCCAGGTCCGGGGTCTCCAGGGCTTGACCTCAGCCAGAGGACGCACTGGATATACAAGCTCTCCTGGACCTCTCTCACGTTCCTGCCCATCCTCCCCTTCACGACGGTGATCGCCATCAGTGCTGTGCTTCTGATCAAGGGACAAGGTACTGGGGTGGGGCTGGGGCATCCCTCCTGCCAGGCCCCCTTCGTGTGACCTCTGCCAGAGACGCAGTGCACACACGGTGGGAAGAGCCCACTAAGGCCCAAATCACAGACCCAGTGCTTTCAGGAGTCCTTGCACAACTCACTCTGTGCCTCAGTTTTTCCATCTGTGAAATGGGAGCAGGAAGTGCTCACCCGCGGGTCAGACACACAGCCCAAGCCCGTTGGTACTCCAGAGAAGGGGCACTCACCCCAAGTCTCCAGAGCTCAGCAGGGAGGGCTCCAAAGCAGAAGGAACAGCAAGCCGGGGCAGGAAGTTGTGCCCTCTGGTGGCCTGGCCGGGTAGGGGCAGGAGCTCAGCCAAGAGAGCGGTAACCTAGGAACAAGCCGGATGGGACACTGTGCTGCGGCCTTCAGGGTCCAGGGCGAGGCTCTGGGAGAGTCCGCCGGGAAGGGGGTAGGGGGCGGCCTTGGCAGAAGTTGAGCAGACTGCCAGCGCCTCTTCCTTCCAGTGTTTTTCCAGCTCAGGGTCCCGGTTAAGAGGTAAGTGACCCCTCCAGACGCTCCCCAGCCTGGGTCTTGGCCCCTGGAAGGACAGAGACCCCACGCCATCAGGAAGGGAGGGGGGAAGACCCCAAGGGTAGGGAGATGGATCAGGATTAACACTTGGCTTTGAATCTGAGCCCTTGGAGGTGAGTTCCGTCTCCAGTGGGCGGCGGGGGTGCCTGGACACTAGACACCCCTTTCCCAGCACAATTAAGAGAAAGCCCCCTGAGGTCTGCAGTGGGGGCGTCTCAGCCCGCCTCCAGGCCCGGCACGCCCCTCTTCCCCGGGAGAGGGGCCGCTCCCGGGAACAGCCACGCACCCCGTGGCCTTCGGCGCGGAGCGAGCCCTAGGAACCCAAGGACACAGTTCTGACCCGAACTGCCGCGAGGCAGAGGCGAGGTCCAGCCCGGGCGGCCAGCTCAGCTGCGAGCGCCGAGGTGGACGCTTCCGGCTGGGAGGGGGCGGAGGGGGTGGACCGCGCGGACCGGGCGAGTGGGGCGGGGCCGGGAGGGAGCCGAGCCCAGATAGGGCGGGCTTTGCCCGTGATCGCCGCAGGACCAGGGCAGGGGCCGGAGGGGCTTCCCTGGGGCTCCGCCTTCGAGGCCCTTGGGATTGCGTCATCGGGAATTACAGTGCCTGGGAGAAGCGAGTCTCCAGGAACCTAGAGAACGAGCAAGAGGAAACGCTCGCCACGCCTCTTCGGGAAAGCGGCGTTTATGAGCTTTAACGCGAGGACAAGTCGCCGAGAAAAGTGTGAGGCCCGGACGACTTTAAAAACCTCTGCTCATCGGGTGCTTCACTTCGAAACAGAAATTAAAAGGCCAAGGTCTACCTAAACATTCCCTCGCAGATGTGTGCGGCGCAGGAGCCCAGGAGGGGGGCGGTGTGGCGTGGCCTGGGAGGGCAAGGGGTCTGAGACGCGGAGAACCGGCCCAGCCCGGTCTTGAGAGCAGGTCCCCACCTCTCAGTCTGTTTCAGTTTAGCTCACTTCAGTTTAGTCGCTCAGTCGTGTCCGACTCGTTGTGACCCCATGGACTGCAGCACACCAGGCCACCCTGTCCATCAGCAACTCCTGGAGCTTACTCAAACTCATGTCCATTGAGTTGGTGATGCCATCCAACCATCTCATGCTCTGTCATCCCCTTCTCCTCCTGCCTTCAATCTTTCCCAGCATCAGGGTCTTTTCCAATGAATCAGTTCTTCGCATCAGATGGCCAGGGTACTGGAGTTTCAGCCTCAGCATCAGTCCTTCCAATGAATATTCAGGACTGATTTCCTTTATGATTGACTGGCTGGATCTCCTTGCAGTCCAAGGGACCCTCAAGAGTCTTCTACAATGCCACAGTTCAAAAGCATCAACTCTCTGCATTCAACTTTCTTTATAGTCCAACTCTCACATCCATACAAGGGAAAAACCATACCTTTGACTATATAGGCCTTTGTCGGCAAAGTGGTGTCTCTGCTTTTTAATATGCTGTCTAGCTTGGTCACAGCTTTTCTTCCAAGGAGAAGGCGTCTTTTAATATCATGGCTGCAATCACCATCTGCAGTGATTTTGGAGCCCCAAAAAGAGCCCCTGTCACTGTTTCCATTGTTTCCCCATCTATTTGCCATGAACTGATGGGACCAGATGCCATGATCTTAGTTTTCTGAATGTTGAGTTTTAAGCCAGCTTTTTCACTCTCCTCTTTCACAAGAACCACTTTCACCAAGAGGTTCTTTAGTTCTTCCTTGCTTTCTGCCATAAGGGTGGTGTTATCTGCATATCTGAGGTTATTGATATTTCTCCCGGCAATCTTGATTCCAGCTTGTGCTTCATCCAGCCTGGCATTTTGCATGATGCACTCTGCATAGAAGTTAAATAAGCAGGGTGACAATATACAGCCCTGACGTACTCCTTCCCCTATTTGGAACCAGCCCATTGTTCCATATTCAGTTCTAACTGCTGCTTCTTCACCTGCATACAGATTTCTCAGGAGGCAGGTAAGGTGGTCTGGTATTCCCATCTCTTGAAAAATTTTCCAGTTTGTTGTGATCCCAAAAAGTCAAAGGCTTTGGCTTAGTCAATAAAGCAGAAGTAGATGTTTTTCTGGAACTCTCTTGCTTTTTCAATGATCCAACGGACATTGGCAATTTGATCTCTGGTTCCTCTGCCTTTTCTAAAAACCAGCTTGAACATGTGGAAGGTCTCTTTTCACATACTGTTGAAGCCTGGCTTGGAGAATTTTGAGCATTACTTTGCTAGCATGTGAGATGACTGCAATTATGTGGTAGTTTGAATATTCTTTGGCATTGCCTTTCTTTGGGATTGGAATGAAAACTGACCTTTTCCAGTCCTGTGGCCACTGCTGAGTTTTCCAAATTTGCTGGCATATTGAGTGCAACACTTTAACAGCATCATCTTTGTGTATTTGAAATAGCTCAACTGGAATTCCATCACCTCCACTAGCTTTGTTCGGAGCGATGCTTCCTAAGGCACACTTGACTTTGCATTCCAGGATGTCTGGCTCTAGATGAGTGATCACACCATCATGGTTATCTGGGTCATTAAGGTCTTTTTTGTATAGTTCTTCTGTGTATTCTTGCCACCTCTTCTTAGTATGTTCTGCTTCTGTTAGTCCATACCATTTCTGTCCTTCATTGTGTCCATCTTTGCATGAAATATTCCCTTGGTATCTCTAATTTTCTTGAAGAGATCTCTAGTCTTTCCCATTCTATTGTTTTCCTCTATTTCTTTGCATTGATCACTGAGGAAGGCTTTCTTATCTCTCCTTGCTGTTCTTTGGAACTCTGCATTCTGATGGGTATATCTTTCCTTTTCTCCTTTGCCTTTCACTTCTTTTCTCAGCTATTTATAAGTCCTCCTCAGACAAACATTTTGCCTTTTTGCATTTCTTTTTCTTGGGGATGGTCTTGATCACTTCCTCCTGTACAGTGTCAAGAACCTCCATCCATAGTTCTTCAGACACTCTATCAGATCTAATCCCTTGAATCTGTTTGTCACTTCCACTGTATAATTGTAAGGGGTTTGATTTAGGTCATACCTGAATGGTCTAGTGGTTTTCCCAACTTTCTTCAATTTAAGTCTGAATTTAGCAATAAGGAGTTCATGATCTGAGCCACAGTCAGCTCCCAGTCTTGTTTTTTGCTGACTGTATAGAGCTTCTCCTTCTTTGGCTGCAAAGAATATAATCAACCTGATTTTGGTATTGACCATCTGGTGATATCCATCTGTACAGGCATCTCTTGTGTTGTTGGAAGAGGGTGTTGGCTATGCCAGTGTGTTCTCTTGGCAAAACTGTTAACCTTTGCCCTGCTTCATTCTGTACTCCAAGGCAAAACTTGCCTGTTACTCCAGGTATTTCTTGACTTCCTACTTTTGCATCCTAGTCTCCTATGATGAAAAAGACATCTTTTTTAGGTGTTAGTTCTAGAAGGTCTTGTAGGTCTTCACAGAACCATTCAACTTCAGCTTCTTCAGCATCACTGGTTGGGGCATAGACTTGGATTGCTGTGATACTAAATGGTTTGCCCTGGACATGAACAAAAATTATTCTGTCATTTTTGAGATTGCACCCAAGTACTGCATTTTGGACTCTTTTGTTGACTATGAGGGCTACTCCATTTCTTCTAAGGGATTCCTGCCTACACTAGTAGATATAATGGTCATCTGAGTTAAATTCACCCTTTCCAGCCTATTTTAGTTCACTGATTCCTAAAATGTTGACATTCACCCTTGCCATCTCCTGTTTGACCACTTCCAATTTACCTTCATTCGTGGACTTAACGTTCCAGGTTCCTATGCAATATTGCTCTTTACAGCATCGGACTTTACTTCCATCACCAGTCATATCCACAACTGGGCATTGTTTTCTTTTCGGCTCCGTCTCTTCTTTCTGGAGTTATTTCTCCGCTCTTCTCCAGTAGCATACCTGCCAACCTGGGGAGTTCATCTTTCAGTGTTTTATCATTTTGCCTTTTCATTACTGTTCTTGGGGTTCTCAAGGCAAGAATACTGAAGTGGTCCCTTCTCCAGTGGACCATGTTTCGTCAGAACTTTCCACCATGACCTGTCTGTCTTGGGTGGCCCTACACAAAATCTCTTATAGTTTCATTGAGTTAGACAAGGCTTGGTCCATGTGATCAGCAGTCTGTTTTCCCATCAGTCAAATGGTGACAGTGGCCCCAGGCAGGCCCCACGGTGATGCGGTGGAGAGCATTGGTGGCTGCCTCTGGAGGCAGAGAGACCCTGGTCAGGAATGCCAGGCTTGGAGGAGAAGGGGTACCAAATGGGCCTGGTGAAGTCCCCACTGCAGGGTCATGGCTGATTGATCTACTTAGGCTTTCCCCAGTTTTTTGTAAGAAGCCCAGGTCATTTAAGGCCAACACTCAAATGCTGTTTTAGGATTTTATGAGTCAGTATTTCTTTAGAGTTGTTTAACATGAAGATAATGGAAATTCTGCAGTCTGAAAAGTTTGTCACTTTAATTTATAAAATACATTTTTATAAGGAGGAAAATGCTTCAAGTGTGTTCCTAATTTTAAGAAGCTCTGCCCCACCTTTGGTGCACATGTAACTAACTAGAGCAAGTCCAGCCATTGGAGCAAAGTGCTGGGCTCTGAAGTCAATCTCCTAAGGCTTGTTGGAGGCAAGCCCTCCTACACATGTGGTTTCCTAAACTGTGCTCGTCACATTACAAGTCATCAATTCTTGAACCTGTCCCTATGGCAGCCTATGTGAACACATTGGGACAGAAACCCAACTGTAGGAAGGCAGGGCAGAAATGGGTAGAGATTTAAGTTACTTGTCAAAAGCATCAGACAGGATGGGAGGCCCGACCAGACACTCCAGCCAGCTGGGAAGACCAAGCACAGGCTGGTGGGTTGAGTTGAACAGCTGCCTCAAGGGCCTGCTGAAGAGAGGAAACCAGAGAAAAGCTTTCCTGACCAGGGGATGGCATCCGTATGGGCTTGGCCTTCTCAACAGTCCTAACTCCTAGAGGGCTCCAGAGAGGAGGAAGGAATCACGAAGTGCTTCGAGGAAAACTGGGTCTCTGAGTGATGAAAAGTTGTGAGGAAGCGTTCTGTACTGACGAGATACAAGGAGATATTGTGTGTGACAGGGTGCGGTGGGGGAGGCCAAGAACTTGGCGAAAGCTCTCCCCATATGGCGGCCACTGGCGCAGGGGCTGCACAAGGGCCATCTGGATATGGAGAATGGGGTCTACTCCGGCTGCTGCTGCGTCTGCTAGATTCAGAAGCAAGCCCAGCGTGCTGGTCCAGGGAAAGCCAAAGTCCTGCCGGTCTGGACTCCGATTTCTGCAGGGCAGGCACACGGGCCATCACGCACTGACTTTGAGTGAGGGAGTTGGGGGGAATGGAGAAAGCGGGGCGGTGGGGGTGGGGGTGGGGGTGGGGAGGTGCTGCGCAAGCAACAGGACTGGCGCTGGGAAGGGCGACTAAGTTCTGTTTCCATGGAGACCGTTCCCGACAACACTACTAAAGGTGGAGGAACCCCGACTGACGGCCAAGGTACGGAAAGAGCCCACTAGTAAAGGTTGGCGACAATACCCTGACCCCTGATCGACCCCAAACTCCTGATTCTGCCTCCCGCAGCTTCGTGACCCTGAGACGCGTCCAACCTAGCCAGAACATTCGGGCTTGGGGTCGGGGCAGGGTTGAATTAGAGGACCGGGCTGCGGGCCCCGACCCATGGCGCCCAAGAAGAAGCGCGGGCCGGGCGCCGGGCGCCGGGGGCGCGCGGCGGGAGAAGGCGCCGAGCCGCCGCTGTCGGAGCGCGGTCAGTACCTGCAGAGCAAGCACAAGCTGCTCTCTGAGGAACTGGACGCCTGTAAGCAGAGCGTCGACCAACTGCTGCAGGAGAAAGACCTCCTTGACAGAGAGGCGGCGCGCCTGCGCGAGGAGAACCGGCTCTACGCGAGCTACGCGAGCACGCGCGCGCAGCGCTTCGCCAACGCCATCGTTACGCTGGAAGATCAGAACCGCGAGAACCTGTCGCAGATCCACAGGCAGCGCGCAGAGCTGGCGTCGATCTACCGCGGGCGTGAGGACGCGCTGCGCGCGCAGCTGCTGGAGATGGAGGCGCGCGCGGCGCAGATGGCGCAGCAGGTGCAGGAGCTGCAGCCCTACAAGGTCAGTGCGCGCGCGCCCGCTGGCGGTCCGGGTGGGGGCCGGGCGGGGGCCGGGCGAGGTGGGTGCGCGCCGCGGACCGGTGCTGACCCGCGCCCCGGCCGCAGGAGCTGCAGCTGGAGCAGCTGGCCCGGATCCGGGCTCTGGAGCGCGAGCTACTGCATGTGCGTGTGGAGCACACGCAGCTGCTCCACCGCGTGAAGCTGCAATTCCTGGAGGACAAGGCAGCGTTTGAGCGCGAGGCGCGCCAGCGCGTGCAGTCGCTGGCGCGGCGCGCGGAGCGGGAGGCGGCGCGCGCGCTCTTGGCGCACATCGAGGCCATCAGAGTGGACAATGTTCGCCTGCGGCAGGAGTTGCTGCAGCTGCGCCACCGGGCCCAGGTGCTGCATGACACGCGGCGCCAGTTGCTGGAGCAGCGCGAGCAGCTGCGGCGCGAGCTTGAGGACACGCGGGACCTGCCGCGCGTGCACGGCTGGCTGCGCCGAGGCCCCGAGGGCCCGCCGCTTTGGGAACCGTCGCCGGCCGCTTCTGACCCCGAGTCTTTTCCCTCCAAGACCCTGTCGCGCGCGACCTTCCCGGTCCCATCAGTCCCAGCCTCCCAGAACCCGTCTCAGGTCTTAAGCCGCGCGGATTCTTGGACCCCATCCCTGCCCTCGAAGGTCTCAGTTCCCAGGGTCCCGTCACTGGTCCCGTCGCGTGTTGGCTCCACGGTCCTATCTCTGGCCCCTCCGAAGGCCAGTTCACGGGTCCCATCCCACGACCCATTGCACGCGGGCTCCAGGGTCCAGTCCTTGTCCGTGTCGCACCCAGGTTCCTGGCTCCCATCCCTGACCCCATCCGGCCCGGGGTCCGGGGTCGCGTCCTTTACACCGTCCCGACCCGACTCTCAATTCTCTTCGCGGTCCTCACTGCATGCCGCCTCACAGAACACCATCCTCTCTGGGAAGCTCGTCCCCAGGTCGGGCTCTTATCCTCTGCCAGTTGAAGAAGACAGCGACCGTGATGCTGCAGATGAAGCCGCCTCCGGGAGAGCCTGAACCTACCTCGAGGAAGGCTAGTGAGGCCAGAAGGTGGCGGGGAAAGGGGCTGTCCAGGAGGCGGGTTTGGTGAGTGGATTATGAATAAAGGCGTGACTCCCTTCTCCACTCTCCGCTCTGGCACTACCTGCTTCGCTGTCCAGAAGTTTCCGGCTAGCGCAGGGGCCACTCATGATGGCTTCCAGTTTTCAGCCTGCAAGGCTGGTCGTTCTCTGCTTTGGGTGTCTGCCGGGACTCCACAGCTGGTTGCACTGCCTGGGACAGAGAGAGACGACCACGCCACCGTCCTGCCCACAGGGCTGATAGTCTGGTGGCAGACATGGACATCGGGGGCATGGACAGGTAGTATGCGAGGAGGGAGGGAGTCTGGCAGGCCGGGGAGGCGCTGGTGGAGATCTCAGGCCCTCGGGAGCCATCGGAGGGGCTGGGCTTTGTTCTGGCGCCAAAGGGAGCCGCGGGAGTTTTTATGTTTAACCTACTGGGGTTTTTGTTTCTTGCCTTGCTGGGCGGCTTTTGGAATCTCAGTTCTCCGACCAGGGATTGAACATTGAACCTGGGCCCCGGCAGCGCAGAGTCCTAACCACTGGGGAATTCCGGGGATAATTTTTAACTTTGATTTCGCTGTCAGACCCAGTGCATGGAGGCCGGGTAGTACGGTGTCCATCACGTGTGGTTTGCATTCCTCGAGGCTGTATCAGGGAGGTAAGTGTGGGGGAGACCAGGCCCCACGCACCCTTAGCGCTGGCCGAAGGGGTAGGGATTTCATGACAAGCGCAGAGCGAGGTTTCACGGGGTCGGAAGAACCGACCGGCGAGGTGGCCGCAGCGAGAGTGGCCGGAGCGCTCCTGGGCGTGGAGACCCCGAGGGGCTCTCCGGTCTCCACAGGCGGACGCGCCACCGTGCCCAGCGGACCTGGGCCCTTTGGAGAAAGGAGTTCAGACCGCAGCTTTCAAACTGGGCCCCACCCCCGCACCCCGACACCGCCCTTGGAAATTTAAATATTCTGGTTCTAGGCTGAAAATCCTCAGAGGCACCTGGCAGCAGCAAACACAAATTCTCTGGGAAAAGTTTGTTTGAAATCCAGGACAGTCAGGTTCTCAGAACTGATTTCAATTTTAAACGGTCTCTATTTAGAGATTTGGGAAAGGAAGTAAAACAAATTGAGTCTGTGGCAACTGGTGCCAGATACAAAGTTGCTCCCAGAGGTCAGAATAGCAAAGTAAAGGGTTCTGATTGGCCAAAAATGCAACAATTTCAGCATCAAAAAGGATGTATTGAATAGAAACACATCAAATACATAAAATACATGAACTTAAAATGCAATAATCTAGCATTCTAAAAATTGCTAGATTGTGAATTCCCTGATGGGCCAGTGGTTAGGACTCTGTGCTATCACTGCAGGGAACCTGGGTTCAATCCCTGGATTGGGGACTAGGGTCCCACAAGCTGTGTGGAGGGGCCAAGTGAATAAATAATAAAATTTGGTAAACAGAGAATCACACATCCAGTCTGCCTTTCCCATATGACCTGAATGTCAGGATAAACAAATTGTTGGTGAAGGAAAATTACATACAGAACTCCACCTAATATAGGTGTAGAAAAAATAATCATGATGGTTGCTAAAGTCTATGGGTGGAATTTGATGAGGATAATAAATGGGTCTAGCTGATCCCTGAATCCATGAATGACCCTGACTTTACTAAGAGTGAGATATGAAGTGCCTTCTGGTGTGAAACAGTAGCATCTACACCAAGCAACCTATACAGTGTTAGAAACAACATTCATATAATCCAGCTTCTAGTTGTAACTACCAGGATACAAGATACAGGGGACAGAGGAATGTGTTAAATGGCAGAGTAAGGATGCAGTCATCCAAACCTCTATAGGACAAATGACTCTCCTTTTTTGCCAAAAATGAATAGCAAAGAATTTTTTTAAAGTATAGAGGGGAAATTGTTAACAAGTATCAGAGGCTCAGGGCTTCTCTGGTGGCTCAGTGTTAAAGAACCTGCTTGCCAATGCAAGAGATGAAGGAGACACAGGTTCGATTCCTGGGTTGGGAAGATCCCCTGAAGAAGGAAATGCAACCCACTCCAGAGCTCTTGCCTGGGAAATCCCGTGGACAGAGGAGCCTGGCGGGCTACAGTCCACAGGGTAGCAAGGAGTCGGGCACAACTTTGTGACTAAACAACAGAGACTTAAGAAATATTTCCACTAAACAGGACTTGTGGACCTTGCTCAAGCCTTTGCTTTAATTTGTGGTGTTAAATCAATGGAATGTTTTGGTAACCAGGAAGCTAATGGACAGCAGCACAGTCCACAATCCTCTTCCCAGCACTGACACTTCACTGCCCTCCTTCCTGGACACCTCGGGTCCTCAGGACCTCTAGCCCGCTAGTTTCCATGAAGTAGCTCCCTGAGTGACAGCTCTGAGTAGGTACTTGTCAATTTCTTTGTAGTTCTGTTATTTTATGTGTGCTGAAGCAATTATGACTTGCATATGTGTGTAGAACTACTGGCTGTCCTCTGTGCACTAACTCTGTCTTCAGTCTGCAGTGTTCACTGCTGCTCACAGCCTGACAGTAATATGGCAGCTCCAGCTTTTAGGGGGCTTGTCTTGCACCCCCTTTCTACCCGTGTCAGTTTTATATTTTAGATGTGTCCCTAGAATCAGTAAATATGGTTCTTGTATCTTATTATTTTTATATTTACTTATTTATCTGTTTCTGACTGCATCAGGCCTTAGTTGTGGTGCATGGGCTCAGCTGCAAACTGTCATGTGGGATCTCAACTTCCCAACCAGGAATGGAACCCGCATCCCTCTCATTCTTGTATTTTAAAATACAGTCTGACAGTCTCAGTCTTTTAAGTTCAGGGCATATTTTACATTGGTTTACTTGCAGTGTTAATAGCAGTATTCTTTTTTATCAGTTAATTTTATACTTTCTGTATTTCTCCCCTTGTGTTTCAGCTGAACCCTCCTCCCTCTGATTTCATTGTTTCTCTGCTTGTGTGACATTCACACTGTTCTCAGTCAGTGGTCACCTGAGAAGTGTTAATGCACATTTGAACTATAATTCATGGAGATATCTTGACCGTCTTCCCAGCCCTTGGAATGCTTTAGATTTCCGTCACACCTTCCTGACTTAGAACCTGCTGATAACAGGATTTTAGTCCTCCCTCCCCAGTGACTCATGCCTGCTCCACAACGGAGGGGAATTTAGGAGTGGGGTGGGTGCTAGCATCATTAAGGAAACCACTGGGTGTCCTGTGTCCCCCTGCCATACAAAAGACTCTGACGTTCCAGAGAGCAACCACAGGCTACCACCAAGTGGTGACCAAGACCACCCATTTATGGCTGAAAGCCAACAGCTTAGCCAGATACCCGACTGGATGATTGGGGATCAGATCCCACCCTGATACCTCCCCAGGAGATGGGACCAGGACAGACAGCCCATACCCACAGCACTGCACACATGGAAATTCTTGGGTATTCCCCCCCAAATCAGATTCTTCCATCAGGGCTTCATTATCCTTCACCAAGTTTTGAGAATAAGCCACAAGTTCCGCCCCAAACTATGCAGACCTGGTCTGCTCAGATCCAACTTCTGCCCAGATGATCTGTTCAGAATCACCCTCCTCAGGATCCCAAAGTCTCTGGCTACAGTGAGTCCTTGTGTCTTTTCCAGGTGAAGAAGGGTGCCCTGCTTCAGACATCCATCGAGCTATTCCTGATGATGGAAGAAAGGACAGTGTCCAAGACAGCTTAAGAAAAAGGCCAGCAGGAGGAAGATGCCTAGTTCCCCGTGTATGGGATGAAACAATGAGGTCACACTACAGATCCTACAGACATGAAGAGTAGTGTTACTTCTGCTCTGACCAACTCTGGCCAACAAGTTCAGCAACTCAGATGATGAAATGGACAAATTCCCTTATAGACATAATTTTATGAAACTGACAAAAGAAGAAACCTTGTCACATAAAAAACAATGGACTGAGCTGATTCACTGATGAACTCTACCAAACCCTCAAGGAAGACTATACCAAACTTAGAAGCCTATAGGAGAACAAGGGAAAGCAAACCCATTCCAGCTTGTGTTATGAAGCCAGCAAAGCCTTCACCTGATAAAGACATCACAAGAAACATACAACAATACTTTCTCATAAGCAGACACAGAAGTCCTTAACAAAACATTAGGAAGCCCAGTACAGCCATTTACTAAAAGAACTCTGTATCACGTCTAAGTGAGTTTATCCCAAGAACACAATGTTGGTTTTATCTCCATTGCCTGGAGTGAGGGACTCCAGTGCTGGAAGGGTTCAAGAAATTCCAGGTTGGTGAACACATGGCGATTCAGGAGAGTAGAGTGTTTGGAGAGACCATGGAAGACCATGGGCCATTTCCCCATACTTTCCGTATGTGTCTTCCATCGGGCTATTCTGATCCTTATCCTTTGATTATAAACCATAATCCAGTGAGTTAAATGTTCCTCTGAGTTCTGTGAACCACTCTAGCAAACTAATCAAACCCACAGCCTCTGCTCTAGTAACCTCCAGATCTATAGCCAGTCAGAAGCACAAGTGACAACCTGGACTTAAGTTTGGCCTCTCAGCTATGGGGGGAGAGGCAGCCTTCTGGGACTGAGCCCTTAACTTGTGGCATCTGACATTATCTCCAGATACAGTGTGTCACAATTCAGTTAGTTGCTTGGTGGTGTGGGAAAAAACACACATTCGACATAGGAATATATTTAACAAACCATCTACTCTCAAAACGACAAAACAATGCTAAGCAAACTTTAAGATGGAAACAAACGGAGTGACGTCCCCCGGTTATGGGTGTCATCAGTTCTCCCTAAACCAATCTAGAAATGCAACACCACTCCAAGCAAAACCACAGCAAGGTTTTTTTGGTTTTGTTTTGTAGCAGTCAACAGGATGACAATTAAATTTACATGGAAAAGCAAACGACATCAAATAACCCGTCTTGAAGAACAAAACTGGAAGACTTACACTCTCCTTGATTCTAAGACTACAGTAATTAAGACAGTGTAGTACTGGCACAGACATCAATAGACGGATCAATGAAATAGCAGAGAGTGCAGAAATAGACTCACCCATACAATTAGGTGGGTTTCTTTGTTTTTGGTAGTTCCAGGCAGCTTGCGGGATCTTAGTTCTCTGACCAAGGAATGAACCCGAATCTTCAGCAGTGAAACAGTGGAAGCTTAACCACCTGACTGCCAGGGAACCCTCCAGTTAAGTGTGTTTTATGACATGGGCATCAATGTAATTCATACCATACCCCAAAATAATTTAAGATCGATGTTGGACCAAAATGTGAAAGATGAAACTATAATGCTTCTAGAAGAAAATAAACTGAAGAATCTTTTCCTACCCTTCAGAAAGATCCCATGGTTTTACAGGAAAGGCAGGTCCTTTTGTGATGGCTACACTTCAGAAAGATTATCCCTTCCGTGAGCAAATCGTACAGCAGCAGGGCAGGACGGGATAAGGGAAGCCAGGGAGACGATCACTGACCACTGAGATGGTCGAGTGGAAGGATGAGTGGGGGCCCGGGCGGAGACGTGGAGGGTGGAAACGGAGAGGGCAAAACTCAAGGCGATTCCTGAGTTAGAGCGCCAGTCATCTCGGCCAATGGGCTAGACAGGAGTACGTGGCTCCCACCTGTGAAGGAGTCCTGAGCGAGGGTATTTTTTGGTACTAAGCAGGCAGCGGGGTACAGCGGCTCCCACCGGAGCGGTCCAGGTTGAATTGACAGAAGTCGAGGTTACCCAAACCACCCGGCCGCCCAGGGAGCGCGCAGCTGGAAGCAGAAACAGGCTCGGGCCCGATGAGGGTGGGGGCCGGCGCCCGGAGGAGCGTCAGGCCGGCGGCCGCACCTTGACTAGCCGGCAAGGACCCGGAAGTAACCTCACCTGGGAACTCTGCAAGTAGGCCAGACGGGACCGGCCATGACGCACACGCCCCAGCGGAAGTGCTTCTCCCACCGCCGGAAGCGGCGCTTCCGCCCCTTTAGGAGTTTGTCTTAGTGACTGTTTGCCCGAGCTGGCCGGATTCGTCCCACCCTTCCGGGCTGCGGGAATAATGGAAACACGGCACGTCAAAATCTGTTGAATGCAGCCAGAGCGATGTTTAGAGGGATGTTCCCGGATTTAAATATTTACATCAGAAAAGAAGAAAGGTCTAAAACTAAGTATCTAAAATTCCACTTTTTTTTTTTTTTGGACGTTTATTTTTGACTGTGCTGAGTCTTCCTTGCTGGGAGGCTTTCTGTAGTTGAGGAGAGTCGGGGGCTACCCTCTAGCTGTGAGCGGGCTTCTCATTCCCATGGCTTCTGTTGCAAAAGCACAGGCTCTAGGGTACAGCCGGCTTCAGTAGTTGCAGGTTCCGGGGCTCCAGAGCCTCCTAGCATGTGGGATCTTCTTAGACCAAAGGTTGACTCCATGTCCCCTGCATTGGCAGATGAATTCTCAACCACTGGGCCACCAGAGAAGCCCCCCAAATCCTTCACTTCAGTTGATCGGTCGTGTCCGACTCTGCGACCCCATGGACGCCACGCTTCCCTGTCCATCACCAACTCCCGAAGCTTGCTCAAACTCATGTCCATCGAGTCAGTAATGCCATCCAACCATCTCATCCTCTGTCAGCTCCTTCTCCTGCCTTCAATCTTTCCCAGCATCAGGGTCTTTTCTAATGGTTAGTTCCTCGCATTGGGTGGCCAAAGTATTGGAGCTTCAGCATCAGTCCTTCCAATGAATTCTCAGGACTGATTTCCTTTACGATTGACTGGTTGGATCTCCGTGCTGTCCAAGGGACTCTCAAGAGTCTTCTCCAACACCACAGTTCAGAAGCATCAATTCTTTGTGCTCAGTTTTCTTTATGGTCCAACTCTCACATCCATACATGACTACTGGAAAACTCACAGCTTTGACTAGGTGCACCTTTGTCAGCAAATGTAACGACTCTGCTTTTCTTTATATGCTGTCCAGGTTGGTCATAGCTTTTCTCCCAAGGAGCAAGCTTTGACTAGGTGCACCTTTGTCAGCAAAAGTAATGGTTCTGCTTTTTTTTAATATGCTGTCCAGGTTGGTCATAGCTTTTCTTCCAAGGAGTAAGTGTCTTTTAATTTCATGGCTGCAGTCACCATCTGCAGTGATTTTGGAGCCCCCCCAAAACAAAGTCTGTCATTGTTTCCATTGTTTCCCCATCTATTTGCCATGAAGTGATAGGACCAGATGCCATGATCTTAGTTTTTTGAATGATGAGTTTTAAGCCAACTTTTTCACTCTCTTCTTTCACTTTCACCAAGAGGCTTTTCAGTCCCTCTTTACTTTCTGCCACAACGGTGATGTCATCTGCACATCTGAGGTTATTGATATTTCTCCTGGCAATCTTGATTCCAGCTTGTGCTTCATCCAGCCCGGCATTTGGGATGATGTACTCTGCATATAAATTAAACAGGGTGACAATATACAGCCTTGATGTACTCCTTTCCCAATTTTTTGTATAGTTCTTCTGTGTATTCTTGCCACCTCTTCTGCTTCTGTTACATCCATACCGGTTGTCTTGTATTGTGTCCATCTTTGCATGAAATGTTCCCTTGGAATCTAATTTTCTTGAAGAGATCTCTAGTTTCTCCCAGTCTATTATTTTCCTCTATTTGTTTGCATTGATCACATAGGAAGACTTATATCCTCTTGCTGTTCTTTGTTCTGCTTTCAGATGGACATATCTTTCCTTTTTTCTTTGCCTTTTGCTTCTCTTCTTTTCTGTTATTTGTAAGGCCTCCTCAACCATTTTGCCTTTTTTTTTCTTTTTTGCCAAAATCCTTATAAGTAGGTAAGACAAACCACCCAGTTTTTAAATGGACAAGAGATCACGTGGATTCTCCATGTCATTACTCAGTGTGCCTGTGCGTGCTCAGTCACATTAGACTCTGCAACCCCAGGGACTGTAGCCTGCTTGCCTCTTCTGTCCATGGAATTCTCCCAGCAAGAGTAATGGAGTGGGTTGCCATTTCCTCCTCCAGGGATCTTCCTCCTCTTACCAGGGATTGAACCCAGGGATGTCTCCAGCGGCTCCTGCACTGGTGGGCAGATTCACTACTGCTGAGCCACCTGGGGAATCCCATCATTCAGTAGGCAAATACAAAGCATAAAGCATAGAAGCATAAAGAGACACCCATATATGCCACTGGAGTGGATTAGATTTTAGAAGTGTCACCATACTACATGTTGATAAGGATGTGGACCAGTTGAACCCTGACAGTGGCAAGAGAGGCTATAACCACAATGAAGAACTTTTTGGCAACTCCTTATAAAATAAAACTCATGTATCTTATAATCCAGCAATTAATTTCCTAGACATTTACCCAAGTGAAATAAAGAGGCAAGTCCAAATACTTTTATACAAATGCTGATAACTGTTTTATTCATAACAGCCAAAACTGGAAACCCAAATTTCTACCAAGAGATGAATGAATAATATATGATGTTGACCTTCACCCATACAATGGAACACTACTCACAAACAGCTCTGGAAACACAGAGCTACTTGGTTTAGTCTTTAAAACATGCCAAAGTGGAATAAGTCAGACACACAGGATTACATGCCATATGAATCCATTTATGTGAAGTCCTACAACAGGCAGAATGAATACATACTAACAGTGTTTACTTGGGCCTGGAGAGGGACCTGGGAAAAGGGCAAGAGGGAACATTTTTTGGGTGATAGAAGTGTTATTTTTCTTGATTGTCATGATGGTTATACAGGTATATGGATTTGCCAAAATTCTGTACACTTAAAATGAGTGTGTTACTATATGGCAATTGGACCTCAATCAATGTTGGTTAAAATGGTCTGGTAATATGTTTCTATACCATTTGAAACATCTGTTATGGGTGAGTCTTCCAATGATGGAGTACTATATGCTTTGTACCCACTCAAGGCTTCTAGAGTTGCTGGAATTTAAGAACTCAAGATATGCCCTCATGGGCAGTACATTCTGACAGCATTTCAAAACTGTTTTCATGTTCAGATAAAGAAATTTGATGCAACAACTAACACTTTTGCTAGACAGTTATCCACTGTGTGATATAACTCACCTGCTTTAGATCAGAGAGGGATCCTCCAGGCCTCCTGTTTCTCCAGAGTCCCTCCCAGACCACCCTCTTTTTTAGGTGACAAGTGTCTACTTGTCCAGTTCTCTGTCACCTCCTCCATAAAGCCACCTCACATCTCCACACCAAACTAGCTGCCTCCTGACCTACACCCCTGCACAACTGGAAACATACTTCAACTCCAACACTGAACTCAGCTTGCCATGACCTTTCTGCCTCCATCAGACTATGGACAACTTCAGGACAGATGGTGTCTTATTCACCTTGGTTTCCAAGTATTTAGCACTGGTCCTTTTGATCAACACATTTTCAAATCAGTGAGAAAGTGAGCTGGAGAACAGGGAGGTGGGGAAGAAGTTGGGCTCAATCATGGAATTAAGACAGAAGAAAGTCATGAAGTGTATCAGGACTGTGTGCCCTGAGTGAATTAGATACACAAAACACTAAATGAAGATGAGCACCCCCCCCCAACAGCACCCCCAAGCGAGTGGACAGTCATTCATAGACAAACTCTGAAGGCAAAACATATAAGAGGCCAGTCTTACTCTGTTACTGCCTGCAAGTGTCGAATGCATTACGAACAGAGACATCAGCAGGGCCAAGAGGAGGTATTTCCAGTAGACCAGCAGACTACACTGTCACAAAACAAAAAAGCAATGACAAAAAAAAAATTTTTTTTTAATGTTTTAAATAACAGTGTAGATAGGACAAAGCAAGAGAGGTGCCAAGTACACACAGACTAGGCTGTGCTTTTTATTGCTCTGCTCCAGATACCAGGGACACACAAATCAGTGAGATACACTCACGGTCCTTAACAATGAGAGAGCACAGAGAACAATCAGAGCAAGCACAGTAACAAGAGGTGAATGGCCACCGAGGATCAGAAGCAGCAGAGGCGTAGTGGACTGAACCCAACACAAAGCTTGGGATGGGTCTTGACTTGTGATGGGTCATCAGCCAGATGAGAGGGGGCACTTGAGTGTCGGCTGGGAGGCAGGAGCACCTGGATGAGGGGGCACGTCCAGCAGTTGGTGCTACCTCTGTGACCAGGAGTGAACAAGGAGCAGATGAGGCTCCAGGAAGCCTTTGGATGCGCGGTGGGGAGTTCAGAATTTCTCCTAAGGACCACAGGGAATCAAGTTGTGGTTTTAGGTAACAAAGTATCTTTCTCCAGCTTGCCTTTCTGACAGATCAAAAATGGCTAAGGAACACTCTTTTAAAGTTATAAAATTAGATACATAACTCTGCTTTAAAAGGGATTTAACTCAAGGGTGAATTGTTACTGTGCAGTGGAATAAAATCTTTTTCTCCGAGGCCAAGCTCCTCCGTCCTACACCCACAGCTCTCCCATAACTGATCCAGCTGCATGCCAGCTGTCCAATCGTGTGGCTCTCCTGCGAGCATGTGCTCCCAATGGAGGACAGTAGGCCCCACTGCAGCCAAGTGAGAGGTGGCAGCCCCGCCCATCCATGACCCTGGAAAATGCTGACTCCTCCAAAACCTCACAAATCAGGGCCCCTGCCACTTGTTTCCAGCATCACTAAGTGAGCAGGAGGATAATTAGAAGTCTGTGTGCCCCCCCGGGCCTCCATACGTGTCCCCCAAGTGTACGGCTGTCTGACTCAAGGGAAGGCCCTCCTGGGGGGCCTCCTGACTGCTTTTAAAGTCTGGGGGTGGGGTGAGCTCTTTCGCATACTGACTACACTCATAGAGTTTCTCCTCAGTGTGGATCTTCTGGTGCTGAAGGAAGTTTGACCTCTGAATGAAGCCTTTCCCACAATAACTACACACGTAGGGCTTCTCCCCAGTGTGAATAATCTGGTGCAGAAGGAGCTTGGAGCTCTGAATAAAGGCTTTCCCACAGTCCTTGCATTCGAAGGGCCTGTCCCCAGAGTGGATCTTCTGGTGCTCGGTGAGGTGCGCTTTCTGGAGGAAGGCTTTCCCACACTGCTTGCACTCGTACACCCTCTCCCCGGTATGAATCTTCTGGTGCCGAATGAGGTAGGAACTCAGGAAGAAGGCCTTCCCGCACTCACTGCACTCATAGAGCTTCTCCCCGGTGTGGATCCTCTGGTGCTGCGTGAAGTTGGACGTCTGGCTGAAGCGCTTCCCGCACTCACTGCAGACGTACGGCCGCTCCCCAGTGTGGACGCGCTGGTGCTGGATGAGCTTCGAGCTCCGGATGAAGGCCTTGCCGCACTCGCTGCACTCGAAGGGCCGCTCCCCCGTGTGGATCCTCTGGTGCTCGATGAGGTCTGAGCGGTGGCGGAAGGCCTTGCCGCAGTCCTGGCACTCGTACTGCCTCACCTCCGTGTGCACCTGGAAGTGCCGGATGAGGCTGGAGCTCCGGATGAAGGCCTTGCCGCACTCGTTGCACTCGTAGGGCCGCTCCCCCGTGTGGATCCTCTGGTGCCGAATGAGCAGTGAGCTCTGGCTGAAGCCCTTCCCGCACTCCTTGCACTCAAAGGGCCTCTCGCGGGTGTGGACCCGCTGGTGGCGGGCCAGGTCTGAGCTGTGACAGAACGCCTTCCCACACTGAGCGCACTTGAAGGGCCTTTCTCCCGTGTGTACTTTCTGATGCTCCGTGAGATCCGTGTAGAGAACGAAGTCCTTGCCACACGCGTTACACACGTATAGCCTCTCCCTGCCATGAATGTGCCGATGCTCCGCCAGGTGGGAGCTCTGACTGAAGCCCTTCCCGCACTCGTCACACCTGTGAGCTTTCTCCCCAGCACAAGAAGCCTGATGTCTGGCCAGGCCCGGGTTGAATGGGAAGCTGCGGCAGGCCTCGTGCTGGGGGGCCTCCCCCTCGATCAACTCTCTCTGAAGCAGGAGGAGGTCTGGGCTCAGGAGAGGGCTCCCCTCAGACTTACTCCCAGCCTGTGCTGCCTCTGTCGTTTGGATCTTCCAGTGGGTGACTGTCACCTGCTGGAAACCCCCTTCCTGCGAGGTGCAGCTCCGCAGGCTCTGTGCATCCAGGTTTCCTAAAAGCCTCCCAAGTCTGGGGTCAGGGCCCCTCCCAGACGTGGGGCCTGTGAGCTCCATCACTGGGAAGGCTTCGGACACTTCCTTCTCCATATTCCCAGCCCAGAAATCCAGGCTCCGAGTCCCCTTCTGGTCAGCAGTCAGCATCTGAAATAAAGCAGAATAACATCATCTTTCCCCTTCGTTACGAGATGGGAATGTGCTGGAGCAGATGGGGTGAACTGTGCACCTGGAGCAGCAGAGAGACGTGCCTCCTGCCCACAGCCCCGCTCAGCACAACACTCGGCTCAGCCTGCTGGCCTCTCCACTGGTGTAGGGGGCTCCACCACCAACACCAGTTTCAGGGGACAGATGGGTTGATGGGCAGGGATGGGTCTAGACTCCACTCAAAATCAAGACATGTTTCCTAAGAAACACAGGAGGACCACTCTGACCCCCACTCGGTCGCCCCCTGCCCAGCTGAGACGCTGGATGGGTGAGACTCACACGAACTCTGGCTTGTTAACCCTGCTCCCCTGCCCTCTCCTTCCTCCACCACGTGTACCCTCTAGCCCTCTCCTTGGGGCAAAGCTCAGCCTGCTTCCTGATGGGTGTCTCCTTTCCTGGCAATGGAGCTCTCACGTTTATAACCACCTGTCTGACAGGCCCTGGGAGCTGCCAGCAGCTCCCACACATGGCTAACTCTCCCGTGAGACCATCTCCTGGCTTCTCCTCTCAAGAGTGCAACAGCACTCCTCATCCCAGGTATGATGGCCTTGTGGCTTCTTCCAATGAGAAAACAGAAGCAATTAGATGAGAACACCCACTTTCTCCCACATTTACCACGCTACCAGCATTGGCGCCCACGCCAGGCCCGCCCTCTGTACTGGGTTAAACGTCCTCCACGGAATCCGAGGTAAACGCGTCCACCTGTGCACCCTGCACCCGCCCAGCAGCAGAGTCTTGGGTGGGAATGGTCACCACAGCACCACGCAGTCACCAGAACATCCATCAGCAGAAGAAAGGGCCAACTGAGGTGTCCTCCAGCAAGGAGGGCATCCCTGCATCAGAGTACAGGTAGACCTCCTGGGGTGACACCGAGCCCAAGAGCTCAGTGTGTGGTCCTACTTCCACAGAGTTCAGACGCACACAAAGCTGGCCATGGTGGGAAATTCGAGTCATGGATGGTCTTTAGGAAGATGGTGCTTGCAAGTACAGGGGGGCACTGTGCTGCACAGGTGTGTCTGCCATGGAAAAGCCTGTGCTTAGGGAACCTCACACCATTTCTGGGACGTGCCTTCAGCAGGAATTTGCTGAGGGGATGCCCTCTCTACTGCCAGCCCTCCACCACTACAACCCATCTGCTATCTCACAAGGCGGCAGGTCAGACACCAGCCTGACCCAAGTGGACCCCTGCAAAGGGTTGCACGCGGTGTCAGCCAGGCTCAGGAAAGCTCTAGAAGCTTGGGAAAACTGTCTCCACCTCACTCAGGCTGTTGGCAGAACATGGTTCCCTGTGGTCGTGGAATGGCCCCTTGGGAGCACCTGCACCTTCCAGGTAGGAGCAGCTCAGATGCCCTCTCCTTCTCTTCTGCAATCAGCTGCAAAAACCCTGCTTTCCAAAGGTTCGTGATGAGCCCCACCTCTTGTCAAATGACTGAAAGAGCCCTCCCTTGTGTCAGGAGGAGTGCAGAACCCTGCCTGCCACACCCCAGAGGGGGCCTGGCCCATGACAGAGCCCAGAGTGCCCCAGTCTCCATGTGGGACAACTCTGAAGGGTCGTCCAGCCCCAGAACTCCACAAGCCTGTTTCCCCCTGCTGCCCCATCCCACCTTGCTCATAGATGCTTCCCCGAGTGCTCCCTCCACAGCTGAGCCCAGTTCCCAGGAGCTCCGTCCAAGATCCTGCAGGACCACTTCTCTTCCCAAATCTGCACCAGTGGGAAGCAGTCTGCCAGCTGTGCAGCCCCACAGAGATGCTCCCAAGTCCCCAAGGGCAAAGTTGTGCCCCTGAGGACAGAGCCAGGTGGTGGGGAGCTGCTGGGGGCAGGAGGGCTCCCCAGGTTCCTTCCAACAGGCTGCTTTCCTTCTCGAGTGACAGCGCACAGTCTCCCTGGACTCCTCTGCTCGCCTTTCTAACCATACCATTCCCATCACCCGGAGGCCCCCCTCTAAGGGGAACTGTCTCTTATTATAATTCTGCAGTTTTCAATTGCATTTAAATGGAATCATATGGTTTGTTTTGTGTCTGCTTTTTATTCAATAGGCACCCACTTTTTTATAGAGCTAGAACTCACACATCATAAAATTCACCATTTTAAAGCACACAATTCAGTGCTTCTTAGCATATTTCTAAGGTTGTAGAACCTTCCACACTAATTTGAGCATTGTCAAGATCTGCACCCCCCCCCCCCCCGCCCCGGTGTCTGCTGACGCTGAGCACCACGCCAGGGAGGCCACCTGTGTTGCATGGACCTCAGTGTGGGCAGCCTTCATGGCATGAACACATTGCTGTGTCCTTTCCACAATTCTGCCCTCCACCCCAAGGGGCTGGCAGCTCAGGGCTGGGCACGGTCCTGTGCTTATCTTCTGGCCGACAGAGGTCCTTGCTCCCGCTGAGCCCTGGAACTCCTTCGTTTCAGTGGCTACAGCTCAGGCCACCCTTGGAGACTCCCAGGAACTGCTGACGCTGTGGATCAGTGACTGCCTGTGCTCTGGGCTCCTCCCCTTCCTGAGTGGACGCATTCTTGTGGTCATCTACTCTTGCTGGTGGAGGAGGCAGTATCTGGGGAGTTTAGACTGTGGCTGTGTGGACACGCACTGGTGCCGAGAGAAGGCCACAGGCCAGGGATCCTGGTTCCGGGCTGGAGGCAGCAACTGAGCATGGCCTAGTGTGGGGGCTAGAGGGCCAGCTGGTCAGCTATAGCAGACATGAGGCTGCTCAGTGTCCCTGCTTTGAGTGACAGAAATCCCTCCAGAAATTTCAGTGGACACAGAGCCAGCAGCGAACCACCACATTTCCAGAAGTCCCCTGATGTCAGGGGTGACCTGTGATTGATTCCAGGGCGCCACCCTCTAGCCCAGCCCGAGGGATGGGCACGAGGCCACACCGCAGGCTCTTGGGGGGCAGGCCCTCCCCCTGCTTCTGAGATGGGATACCAGAAACCAAGTTTACTGTTGGGAACACTAGTTTTGAATCTCCATTACAGCAAGAGGAACCCATGCTTAAATAATCCTGTTAGACAACCTGACTATTCAGATGCAACATTCCCTGTGATGATGAAGACACTGAACCAACAGCAGACAGTAAGAGTGAGAAGCTGCAAGTCTACTCGAGGCGTTTCTCTCCATGTGAGGTTTGCAACACAGCTTCCTGGAGCAGTGGCCCTCTAGGGTGCCCTGTGACACAGCATTTCTGACCACTGCCCGGTGAGATTCACTGACACTGTTCTTCTGAGTTAAAGGCCCACTAACTTGATTTAAATCTTTCTCCTACTTACAGAAATTACTTTAATTAGTTATTTTTTTCAAGGCATAAGGGTAAACTATGCCAGTTGAGAAAGACTAAAAATAAAATTATTCTTAACCCCAGTACTCAGATTACACATTGATGTTTTTCTCTGACGTTTTTTCTGCACCAAGGTATTATGAAATGAGGACCACACTCCTCAGTCTCATCCTATTTTACTTCACTTTTATACTGTCCATTCTGAGCAATTATAGACATAAGACCCACACTGTAAGAACACTTCAAGTGGTAAACAAAAATGAGGATAATCCCCAGCAATCCCAGAGACCACTGCAAGCTGTTCAGTTTATACACATTCATCCAGACTTCTGCTTAAACAAAAATGACACATTTACTTCCATGCATGCCATCTGTAGGTATAAACACGGGGTCACATATACCTGTCCATCTGTACACCCTCTCCCAACTTCTAACACATCCCTGAATCCTTCAAGTTCATTCACACGGGGCCCTGGTGCTCCGAGGCCCCACTACACTTCAGATGCCGGAGGTGCCCCTGGTGTCATGAGGAACGACATTCCCTGAAGTACTTGGCCCACCTCCCTTCCCCAGACTGGGGGAAGGAGTTAGCCGAATGAAAGGTCTGGGAGAATAACTAGGCACGTCGGACCCAGCCTCATCCATTGGGGCACAGGTCCTGCTGCTCTGGACCAGGAGTGCAGCGCTATGGAGAGGCTGCGGCGATCCAGAGCCGCCTGTGGGCAGGCAGGACATGGCCTAACTGGACACTTGGCCTAGAGGTCCAGCATCAATCCAAACAAGGCTTGGACAAGTGGCGAGGTGAACTTTTGCTCTTCGTGGACCTCACTGGTGCAGGCTCAGGAGGGCAGGAGGGGTGCTATTGATGAGCGTCCCTCAACGCCAACCCGGCACTGCTGAACTGGCCTGTACAGTCTCAGGCACACCTCCAAACCTTGCAAGGCAGACATGGCCTCGATTATTTACTCTTATTTTACAGAGGCTGAGAAAGTCAATTACCCAAGGCTGCTAAGCCAGTCAGTGGCAGAGCTTAGGTTCAGAGTCAGGCCTGTCTGCCTCCAGAGACCATTCTCAAAGATGTTTTTCCCTCCACAAGTGTGATGTTGCTGTTACAGGGTATTTTGCTTAGAGCAGCTGGGATTTGTATTCTAAAAGTAAGCTTATATTTTAAATCTTGTTTTTTTTTTTTAATCCAAACAAGGAAGTATATTTGGTTTTTTGTTTTGGAGGTGATATTTCCTGATTTTTTGTTGTTTTTGTTTAAAAGGACTGTTATAACACCTGAAAACAGGCTTGCGTCTATTTATAAGAATATAGCTTTAAAATGTGTGCCTTCTCGTGATTTTTATAACTTTAACTTTTCAGGAAGTTTTTAAAATTAAATATACCTTGCTTTGAATAAACGTTTATCTGAATATCAGCAATCTTTCAGTTTCTGCTTAATGCCTTTTTTTCCCTGTGAATTCAAATAAAGTTAAATTGATACTTTTTCATTTAAAGAAACTTGAATGAAGCAAACGAAGTAAAAATACATCAGACTGCTGGTTCCATAATGTCTGGGGCTAACATGGCCCTCCCTTTTGTTAGAACTTGCTGGACAAAATATAACACAACACTGTTGATGTTGAGATGGGCGAGCCTCAGAGCTGGGAGTGAGACCTACGAGCCGCCAGAGTGGCTCTGAGATGAGAGGGGGCAGTGCCCACTGCAGGGACACTAGTAAAGGGGTGTTATAAGCCTTGGGCTTGCAAGTTACCAGTGTGGCTGTCTGCCGCTTACAGTCTAAAGAAAGGAAGCAGGTAGGTGTGCAGAGCTCCACCCTTGGAGGAGCAGCAGGAAAAGGAGAGTAAAAGGGCACCCAAGGAAGACAGGACTAGAGCTGCAGGAGAATGTGCACCCCCGCACGGCCCCACAGCCACAGTGTCACCAACCTGCACTCGTGCCACCACAGCCACGGTGGGGACCAAGTGCCCGGCACACGCTTTTCTTATTTCCTGTGTTCACCACACAATCATCCATGAGGTTCGGGGAGGTGACTGGCTTACAGCTGAGCCTGCTGCAGGCTGCGGTCTCCTCCCCAAACCACCCCCACAGCCATCTGATTTTTGTTCCCAGGGCTCTGCCCAGATGTCAATGGTCTTCTCCTTTCCTGAGCAGTTCAGTGTCCTTTCACCGGTCATATTCCACAACCCGAGGCAGCACTGGACGTGCCTGACAGCTCCCTGAACTGCTTCAAGGCCCTGCCCATTCTGGGTCAGCTGCTTCTCTGAGCACCCCTTCCATTACCAGCTTGTGAACGCGGTCTGGGCTTTCTCAGCTCCGCCGTGCAAGCCTTACCATCCCTAAGGCCTTTGCAGGAGAAATCCATCCCCATCTCTCCAGGAGACACTGGAGCTAAGAAGTTAGACTTGTGAAAAGACATAGCAACCTCGCCCCGCCCGCCCCATTTCTCTGGTATCTTTCACATGAGTGACGCTGTAGCTATTGCCATTATTAAGATACTGTTATTGTTACATCTAACGAAAGTCCCACCTCCGTGGACAGGACCAAGTCCTGTCATTCACCGGGACTGGAGCTCAGGAGAAAGATGTGCTCCAGAGAGGGCACTGCGGCCTGATTAAGAGCATGAGCTCTACAGACAAATTGCCCGAGTTCAAACGGGCCCCCACCTAACACTCCCGGCAACACAGAGAGGCATGCTACTCAGGCCCTGAGGCTCCCATGACTACGATGCAGCCACTGCATGAAGGGTAAGACGTCCAGGGCACCAGCAGAGACGGCCTCCAGGACTGATATGACTCAAGAAAAGGACGGCGCCGCACAGCATCTGGAGGGGATTCTCTTCTTCACCTCTACCCCGCCAGGGCAGCGGTGCCGGCTCTGCACCTCCTCCAGCACAGGCAGGCTTGAGGCGCCGGTCACTCTCCCAGCATCATCTGGAGAGCTCCCTCGGGCTCGAGGGAGAGGCCGGCGGGCTTGGAACAAAAGAGCAGCACTACCCACACCATGCCCTTCACCTACCTCCAGGCCACCCCAGAGCCGGCAGTGGGCTTGAGAGCCGGACGCTGAAGCTGGGGCTCTACGCCTGGGGTGTGTGGCCTCTGGAGCCGAGGAAAGGAACCAAGAGAGTGGAATCAGGCATTTACCCACACGACGTTCCCTGGGGAGAGAAGCTGCGGGACCCGGGACGGACTGTGGTCCAGCGGGGGCGGCCGTGACGGCTGCTGGGAGCCGGGCTCACTGAGCCCGAGGCTCCGGGACCCCCGTGCGGGGCCGGCCGCGCTGAGCCCGCCCGTCCACCCGACTGGAGGACCCTGCCGACCCACTCGGGGCCCGGAACGCGCCACTCACCCGGCGCCCAGCGGCGAGAGGACGCCGGAGCCCCGCACGCGGACTGCCAGCCGCCCACCCCGCTGACCGACCGACAAAGCCTACACAGGAGCCCGCACGCCGCAGCCGGAAATCGGCCCAAGGGCCCACCCTGAGAGCTTCCGGTGCCGCTCTAGGCGCTCCGGGGCCGGCCGGCCTCTCGGTGGTGCGCACTTCCGGCCGGGTGCAGCTGGCGGGGGACCCGAGTCGAGGGCTGGGGGAGACTTCACCTCCCGCGTCCCTGCAGCCTTGAGCGCCGCCTGTCCCCCAAGGGTGAATTGGCTTCCTGTAAGCTGTAAATGCCGACGTTAAAAACTTCGGCAGGCGGAGCTCCCTGCGCCCTTCGCCCCGGGGCCCCAGAGCGGGCGCCCGCCCTACGCCTTCGAGCTTGCTCGGAGGGCCGCTATTCAGAGGCGAGGTCTGGCGTGGCGCGGCCGTCGAGGGCTTTCTCCTGCTTCCCGCAGCGGGCAGCGATTCCCGAGACTTCCTGCGTCTTCCCTTCCCTCTTCAGCCGCGAGGAGGGCCCTCTGACTTAGTCCTTTTTACAGTCCAGGGACTGAAGTCGGAGAAGGCAGGTCACTAGAGGTCACACAGCTAGTGAATGGCCAGGCCGATTGCCTCTGGGGCCACGGTCCTGGCCCGGCTATGCTGTGGGCGCAAGAGTGGCCTCTGGGGACAGTCGTGGGAAATGCCATTATCCCACCCCCCACCCCCACCTCCGGGGTGGAACAGCAGGCATCCAATTAACCATCAGCTGGAGTTGGGGAACAGCAGCATTCACAAGCACCAGCTCTGTCGGGGGGGTAAGATGACAGGAGCAAGCAAGGGAGTCATTACAACAATAAGCCGTGCCAAAGAGGGGCACTGGGCCCTAAGGAACTGCTCCTGACCAGTCCCCCCCCCCCCGGCCCCACACCCCTCTGCACAACAGGGAAAGCTTCTTGGAGGAGGGGGGTCTTTTATGGAAGCCTGAGAGGATTGTCTCTTAACAAAACATGGACAAGATCTGTATGCTGCAAATTAAAAGATGCTGGTGAAAGAGATCAAAGAGGAGTTAAATAAATGGAAGAGTTAAATAAATAAATATGTTCATGGATTGGAAGACTCAACATAGTAGAAATGTTAATTTTCCGTAGGTTAATCTAAAGGTCTAATGCAATTCCTATCAAAATCCCAGAAAGATTTTTAGTAGACTTAGATAAGCTTATTCTAAAATGGATATGTACGGGCTATGCCCTAGAATAGCTTAAAACATTCTTGAAGACTAAAATGGGAGGACCACCACCTCATATTAAGATCTATAATACTGCTTCTGAAATCATGACAGTGTGGCATTGGTGGGGGGACAGACACCTAGGTCCCTGGAGCAGAATAAAGAACCAGGCACAGATCCACACCAATGCGGACTTTTAACAAAAGTGCAAAAGCAATTCGATGGAGATTTCAGTTCTTAATAATGTATCAGTGTTGGCTCATCAATTGTTAAAAAAAATGTAAAACAGTTAACCTTGGAATTTTTTTGTTAAACTTTTGTCAATATTAATAAACAGTCTGTCTCAAATACCTGTGAGTGGTGCAAAGTTCAGATAGATTTCATTTTCTCCTTAGGACCAAGATTTGCTCTCTATTTGAGAATCATGCTGTTTTGCTTAACTCTTCTGATTCTTCTAGAATCTAACCTAATCTACTTTCTTTAAAGTCCATCACAAGTCCAGGGGCAGCTACAAGGTCAAATGTGATAAGTTTTCCCAAGATGTTTCATCTTTGGGTAGATCCAGAAAGTCTTGCATATGATCTTTTAATTGTTCCAGAGGACGTCTTCGTGATCACAATTGAGGTCAGGCTCCCAGTAACATGATACAGAACACAAAAAATGCTTCTAAATTTTTGGCCAAAATTCTGGCTTCTACACACCTTTAACGTCTCTAATCATATCAGTGCCGGTAGTATCTACTTGCCCTTGGTAATTTTTAAAATCAATGCCTAAAATGGTAAGTTTATTTTTTTTTCCAGCCATTTCCTTAAGTCAAATGAATGTTTCATCTAGACTTACATACCTACAAATTCAAGAGAAGTATGAATCAATACTACAAAATGTTCCTCAGCTACTATTGCAAGTACTGCACTGGTTCCTGAGTATTCCTGGAGTTATAGATTGGAACAGGAAGAAAAGCAAGAAAGATTTGACCCATTAGTTATTTTACCTTTTTTCATATCTGAGTGCCTCCACTGCTCAATTTGCCCTGCAACCCACAGATCTTGTGGTCTTCAAAAAAATCCTGTCAAGGGGATGAAATAACAAGCTGCAGACTGGGAGGAAATATTTGCAAATCACATATCTGACCAAGAATTTGTATCTGGAATATATGAGGAATTCACTAAACAGTAAGAAAATGAAAAATTCAATTAGAACATGGATAAAAGATTTGACCAGAAATGTCATCAAAAAACAATATACAGATAACAAAAAAGCACATGAAAAGATATTCAACATCTTTAGTGATAAGGGAAAATACAAATTAAATTCATAGTGGGATATCTATCAGAATGCATCTCTCAGAATGAATCTCTCTGAATGGCTAAAATTAAATAAAAATAGTGAAAACACTAAATTCAGGTAAAGGAGTGCATCACTCCTGCCATGCTGGTGGGAATATAAAAAGAACTCTGGAAAACAGGTAGTTTCTTGCAAATTTAAACATAAACTTGTCATGTGACCCAGCAATTGCATTTATTGAGTATCTATCCTACAAAAATAAAAACGTATGTTCACAGTAAGGTATGCATCTAAATATTTATAGCAGCTTTATTCACAACTGCCAAATGTCCTTTAACAGTTGAATGAACAAACAAACCCAGGTCCAGCCTCACGGTGGGGAGAAAAGTCTGCAACCAAAAGGAACACAATTCTAATGCCACATGGGCAGATTATGGGGCATTATCCTGAATGGTAAAGCCAATCTTAAAACATGATGACACCATAGTGATAGAGACCCAGGGTGATCTCCAGGGGTTACAGTCTTAGGGTGATGTGACTATACATAAGTAGCACAAAGGCATTTCTTTTGTTGCCATGGAGCAATGCTGTGTCCTGATTGTGGTGGTGGTTACAAGACTCCACAGGTGTGACAGAATTTAAAAAAATATACCCCTACTCCCAAGATTGCTGGAAGAAATATCAATAACCTCAGATACACAAATGACACCATCGTTATGGCAGAAACCAAAAAAGAACTAAAGAGTCTCTTGATCAAAGTGAAAGAGGAAAGTGAAAAAGTTGGGTTAAAACTCAACATTCAGAAAACTAAGATCATGGCATCTGGTCCCATCACATCATGGCAAATAGATGTGGAAACAGTAGAAACAGTAACAGACTTTATTTTCTTGGGCTCCAAAATCACTGCACATGGTGACTGCAGCCATGAAATTAAAAGACTCTTACTCCTTGGAAGAAAAGTTATGACCAACCTAGAAAGCATATTAAAAAGCAGACATTATTTTGCCAACAAATGTCTGTCTAGTCAAGGCTATGGTTTTTCCAGTAGTCGTGTATGGATATGAGAGTTGGACAATAAAGAAAGCTGAGCACCAAAGAATTGATGCTTTTGAACTCTGGTGTTGGAGAAGACTCTTGAGAGTCCCTTGGACTGCAAGGAGATCCAACCAGTCAATCATAAAGGAAATCAGTCTTGAATATTCACTGAAAGGACTGATGCTGAAGCTGAAACTGCAATACTTTGGCCACCTGATTAGAAGAACCTACTCATTTGAAAAGACCCTGATGCTGGGAAAGATTGAAGGCGGGAGAAGAGGACAACAAAGGATGAGACAGTTGGATGGCATCACCAACTCAATGGACATAAACTCCGGGAGTTGGTGATGGACAGGGAGGCCCACTGTGCTGCAGTCCATGGTGTCACAAAGAGTGGGACATGACTGAGCGACTGAACTGAACTGAACTCCCAAAATAAAGAGTTCATGCAAGACTGATGAAATCAGGTAAGGTCTGTACATGAATTAATACCATCATCCATTTCCTGGCTTTAATAATGTAAGATGTTTTATTGGGAAACACTGAGTGAAGAGAACATGGGAACTCTGTAGCATTTTGCAACTTCCTGTGAGTTTAAAGTTATTTCAAAATAAAAAGCTGAAGTTAAAAAAAAAAAAAAAGCTGAAGTTAAATAACCCCAACATAAGTTAAAGTTAATGAGTATAAAGTTGTAAAATAAAACTTGATAAATGAAAAATGCCAATATCATGACTATTTTTTAAAATACATTTGAAAAAACTTGTACAGTGAGCCTTCATATACACAGTATTTAGTTTCTACTAATACTGTTTTGCTATATTTCTTTATCGTGTGTTTATTCCCTGAATATTCATTGAAAGAACTGATGCTGAAGCTGAAGCTCCAACAGGTGGCTGTTGGCCACCTGATGCTAAGAGTTGAGTCACTGGAAAACACCCTGATGCTGGGAATTATTGAAGGCAGGAGGAGAAGGGGGCGACAGAGGATGAGGTGGTTGGATGGCATCAGTGACTCAGTGGACATGAATTCGAGCAAACTCCGGGAGATAGTGAAGGACAGGAAAGCTCGGAGTGCTGCAGTCCATGGGGTCAAGAGTCAGATGTGACTTAGCGACTGAACAACAACAACAAATTACTGTTTTGCTATCTTTCTTTATCATGTATTTACTTAGCTGTTTATCTATTCTCTCTACTCATTCATCTTATTTTTCTGGTGCATTTCAAAGTAAGTTGCAGATATTAGTACAGTCCACTCCTAATTCACCATGCAAATCACTGACTAGAGTATAATATGTTTATAGGAGACATTTTAGGTAAAGCTTGGACAATGAAATGCATGTTTTACATGTATCCTTGTATGAACTTTGACATATGCAGACACTTCTGTGACTCAAACCCTTATAGAGATAAGGAATGTCACCATCACCCCAAAGAATTTCAAGACTCTGCATAGCCAATGCCTCCCCCCTGCCCCCAGACTCTTAGAGACAACACTTCTCTCAGTATTTTCACCGTAGATTGGTTTTCTCTGCTCTTGAATTTTAAAGCTGAAATGCTGAAAGTTATCTTTTTTAAAATATAGTTGTCATTAAATATGCTTATAAAAATAAAATATTTGCAGTTTGAGGTTCAATGTCCATCTAATTGCCATGATAAAAAATCAGTACAGGCAACCAATGTCTACATAGACAAACATACATGGTTGAAAGGAACGTGAATCACTTGATAGTGCAAAGTGTGCAAACACTGTGAATGCTATGGGGTGTGTGGAGCTCTGAAGCCACAGCCTGCAGCAGGAAGATGTTGACAGTCTTTATTCCTTTCAGTGCTGCGGCTTTTAAACCTCACCTCTCCCTCTTCCCTTTGCCCCACATCTGGACAAGTGGATGAGAAGGCCTGGGTGCTCCCTCCAACTCCCTGCCTGCAGGTGGGAATACCCTGGCTTACCCTCTAACCACCATCAAACCCCAATCCAGTCTTCTTTGCCTGCTTTTTCAAGCCATTTTCAGCGGGCCGCCTTGCTGCCCCCAGAAAAGCCTCCTCATATAAGTAGTAAATGTTTTGCTACCTTATTGGTGTGTGTGTGGCACCATAAGTCCACATCGCAATCAAATCTGGGGTGGGGTCTATCCCGTCCTGCAGCGTGAGTGCCATAGAAGAATCAAGAGTAACGATCGTCCTCGCTACTACCAGCTGCGCTTCGTTATGCTGGACCAACTGCCTGCGAAGGATCTAGTCATCTGTCTCCTCACCTGAGCAGCAGCTCCGCTGCGCCAAGCCTCCTTGTACCTGGAAGCAGGACTTCTCCAACAGCGGTTGGTCACAACCACGAACCTTCCTGGTATCTGGACCAGGTGCCTCTTTCTTTCTTTTCTTGTCTTCCCTCCCTCCCTTCCTTCCTAACAGAGTTGCGCCAGCGCCAAGCCCGATCCTGGGAGGCGTGTGTGACTAGCAGACCCTCCAGCACCGGCCAGGCAGTGGAGAAGGTGCGGAACGTCCCAGGAACGGGAGGGTGCTACAGTCTGCCCTCCATAGGGTCTCCAGGAGAGCTTCCTCAAGTTGACCCCGAAGTACCTGCAGACCCACGGAACTAGAACTTCGGCGGCAACGGCCCGTGGTCTCTGAGTTCAGCAAGCGTCGCAGGTGTCCCGGGGCCGGCGCCCAAGGAGGCGGGGCGTGGGGCGGGGCCGAGGGGCGAAAGGGGCGGGGCGGGGAGCTTTCGGGAGCCGAGCGGACCTGGAGCTCCATCCTCGCCGCAGGCGGGCGGGACAGGGAGTGAGCCGACTTCCGTCTGCCCGCGCGGCGCCCACCCAGCTACCCTGCTCTATTATGGCTGACCGCGCGACCTAGTGCTCGCACCTTAACGCAGAGCTCTGCGTCCTCGCGAGGCCCCTGTCCCGGCCGGCCTGCGAGCTACAGCCGCTGCAGGGCTGGCGCTGGCTCCGGAGCCCCAGGCCCACCGCCGTTCCCTGCCTTCTCTCCTGTCTGCAGGCCGCCCTGCCGCTGCCGCTGCCCTCGCCCCGGAGGGACGGGGAGCCGGCATGGCGGGCAGCCCCCCGGACGCCTGGCCCCAGGTGAGCGCGCCTGCCCCCGGGACCTGGGCTCCTTGCCTCCCAGAAGATATTTCCTCGGAGCCCGCTTCACTTGGGACCCTGAGTCCCAGGTCCTCTCCAGGACGGGGCCTCACAGGGGCTTCCCTTGCCCCTCCGCGTTGTTCCCCAGGGCCTTCCGGAGGCTGCGGAGGGACACTCACCAGGAAAGGCGGTACTGAGCAGGTTGGGGTATGGATAGGTTGCGTTGACGGTTGTCATTAGGGGTTCCCTGGCAAGCAGGGTACCTTGAGATGGAGTCCAGGGGTCCCACATGCCTGCTGGTGAGCCATCTGCCTCCTCCGCCTTGAATCCTGATGTGCTGACCCCATGGGCAGAACCAGTGTTGTTTCAGGGCCTCCTGACTTTTGAGGACGTGGCTGTGCACTTCACCCAGGAAGAAGGGGCGCGTCTGGACGCTGGGCAGAGGACCCTGTATAGAGACGTGATGCTGGAGACTTACAGGAACCTGGTCTCTCTGGGTGAGCCCTTACCTCCTCCCCACCCCCAGCCCCCCTCAGAGCTGAGGTGGGATCCGGGAGGGGCCAGGCTGGCTGTGACTCTGGGACCAGAGGTGGGACATTCTGCTCCCAGGTGACAGGTGGGGTCTCTGGACCCATCCCCAGGGCACGGCTTCTGCCAGCACTTTGCTGCCTGGAGACTAGAGGTGTCCGTGTCTCTCACAGAGGCGGGCCTCTGTTGAGTCCTCATCCCTGCCCTGCTCCCCACCCACCTCAACCTCCTGGGGGAGACTCCATGTTTCAGAGCCTGCATTGTGGGGCCAGCTAACTCCCCAGTCCCAGACTGCCTCTGGAGCGGGAAGCCAAGTGTGCCTTAGCACTTCAGTTCACCCATTTCCTCTCTCCTCTCGGGCAGAGGTTCCAGGATCCAAACCAGATCTGATCTCCCAACTGGAGCAGGGAAGGGAGCCCTGGGGCTCAGACCTGCTGGGGGCCCAGGAAGCAGAGACTGTGGGAGATGCCAGCATAGGTGAATGAGGGGAGACACAGGCCTCTGGTTGTTCAGTATTTGCACTCAGCATACACAGCCAGTGTTGTCAACATCCAGACAGAAGGACACAGTCATAAACTGCACTTTTGTTGGTTTGTCCCTTGGTGTCCTTTCCCAGGCACATGGACATCCATCAACTGAAAACAGGCAGCCAGTTAGCGATGAAGGGGTAAAGGCTGTGATTGTTGCCCTTTCCCTTCATTGCAGATTGAGGACAATTTTCTGGGAGTCCAGCACCGTGCCAGATGCTTAACAAATTGTGCCTCACTTTCTCCCATGGGATGAGCTATCACTTAGAACCCTCAGTTACAAGGAACTGAAAAGCCAACCAAACCAGCCAGAGCTGGTGGGAGGCTCTTGGCTCAAGTCGTGAAAATTGGGGCTGGTTCTCAGCATCGTGGGTCTCAGGCTCCAAATAATGCCCTTGGCATAAGTTTGAGATCCAGAACACTTAACATCAGTCAAGCCAGACATCTCGCCTCCCAGAACTGCTGCTGGCCACAGGTAACAGTGGCCCCTGGTGACCTTTGCATGATCTGGAAGTGTCTGCCCACCTGCCCTTAAACAGGAACTTCTGTTCTCACAGCATCACTTCTGACACCAAATATAGGGAGTTCCTCATACCACCCAGTTCTTCACCTCTCTGCACACCCACTGGCTGTCCTGCTGTCCAGCTCTGACACCTCATTCCTGCACTGGATGCCTGTGGACGTCTGAGCAGCGAGAGCATTGTCCCAGAAAACCTTCCTGAGGGCCAGTTCCAGTCCTTTGGGTTTCTGGAGTGTAGAGCCTTAGAGTTTCAGGTATAGATGTGTATTTGGAAGGCAGTAATTTTTGGAAGCAGATAAGAGAAAGCAGGAAGAGAGAGAGGAGAGAAAAGTCAGTACAGAGCTGCCACTGCCAGCGTGTGGAGCACCACAGCTCCAGGAGCATGACCACTGAGAGGCTACGGGAGGCATCTGGGATTGCCTATCAGAGCAAGGGAGGGGGACACTTGTCCTTGGTCCCTCCCCCTGGGGCGGTACCTGTCTGCAGCCTGGGCTGGAAGTACAGACCTTGGCTAAGACAGAGGCACGCGTGCTCCAGAGGATGCTGGCAGGCAGAGCTCTCAGAGCTGTCTGCTGCAGCAGGGCTGGAATCCCAGGGAGGCGGGGGCTTGGTGTAAGGTGCTTGCAGCGTCAGCTACAAACTTCAACTTTCTTAGAAAAAGGTGGAGAGAAAAAGTTGACATATGAGGGGAAGGTCCATGAAGGAGGTGGGCACATTTGCACAGCCAGTAAGCCTGGCCTCACCCGTGAGACACCTCGTGGAGAGGGCCTGCAGGTGGTTGATACTTGCGGGCACAGAGTGGGGGTCCAGGTGGACCTTCTCAAACGGTAACACGTGGGCCCTTTCTCTATTTCAGATTCCACCCAGGGGTCTTTGTGTAAACATGTGACTGCAAGGGTGAAGATGACTCCAGCTGCAGAGCCTCCAGGAGGAGCATCTGGAAGCCTCTCCAGGGGTGAGCCTCCAAAACCGGTCTGCAAAGAAGCCCCTGGGCAGGAGGGCAGGCTAGAGAGCCTGGAGAACTTCCTTATCCAGGAGAGACCATCACATGGAACCTTCTGGACCATCTCCAAAGGAGAAGGGGCCCAGAAAAGCAGTAAATGGGGACCCGACCTTTTCTGTAGCCGCGAGACAAACGCTAAAGGGCAGACAGCCCACACGTGCGAAATGTGCACCAAGACCTTCCGATACCTCTCGCGCCTGGTGAGACACCAGGCCACGCACAGCGGCGAGAAGCCGCACGCGTGCGGGCATTGCGGCCGCGCCTTCACGCGGCTCTCCACGCTGCACCGCCACCAGCGCGTCCACAGCGGGGAGAAGCCTTTCGGGTGCCAGTGGTGCGGAAAGCCTTTCAGTTATAGTACTCTCCTTGCCCAGCACCAGCGGATCCACACACGAGAGAGGCCGTTCCGGTGCTCAAAGTACGGGAAGAGCTTCATCTGGAAGTCCAGCTTTCGGACTCATCAGAAATCGCACCTGTGCAGCCAGGTGGTGTGGATCTCTGTAAGCTAAGTAGCTGCTGGCAGGGGGAGCATAGGGCTGGCTGCTGCTGCAAGGAGGGCCCCAGAAGGATGTCCTCAGCACATGGTGCAGCGCAGAGTGAGACCAGCATAAGGGACTGGACTGTTTCTCCATCGGAGACCAACGTGCTCATTTCACGTCCTTTCCACAACGAGGGGTAGCCCAGGCCTGCCTGCCGCAGCCAGCAGGACCTGCTAGCCTGCTGGATTCAGTGTAGCTGTGAGACATCTGTGGACATATTGATACTTTGAAAGTTACTATTTTCACATGCATCCAGATTTTATTTCTGAAATTTAAAATGTAGGTCTTCGGTTTATTTACATCATAGGTGGGTTCTAAATGCCTTTGAAATCCGGATGGGCTACCGAACTTTTGTATAATCAATCTTCCATCACACAGCAGCTCTGAGCATCAGGAGAAGATCACGTAACTCTGGTCACCGTTTGGTCCTGGCTGGTTGTTTTCAGATGCTAATTTGTTGAGCAGGATGTGAGTGTTCCATCTTGGGCAGCTCAGCCCTTGCTGTTGGTCCTGTGGCTTTGCTTGCTCAGCTTCACCTTTCTGCATGCCAACTCTGCTTGAGTCAGGCCATATGAAACATTAAGAGTGTGCATGTCATTTGGACTGTTCTTTTTTTCCAGCCAGTTCTTCCATAGAGAATATATTTGCATAGTATGGATGTTTTCTATACAATAATAACATTAAAAATTTAAAACACATGGTGGAAATAGAGAAAACAGATACAAAAGAAGCCAGTGGTCATGAAATACAGGATATCTCTAGGAAGGTTAGTTGGCAAGAACTGCCCAAGCATCAGGGGGTGGGCAGGGGGAGGCTGTGCCTTTGTGACCATCCATTGAATTCTTGGCATACCTTTCGCTGCTTAGAGGCTAAGTGTCACATGTCTAGTGAAACTAAACGTGCTCAGCCATTTTCCTGCAGGCAGATTAAATAATTTAATTACAGAAGCAATACATGATCATTTGAGGAAATATACAGATATATAAACATAAAGTAAAATATGGGACTTCCCTGACAGTCCAGTGGTTAAGACTCCAGGCTTCCATTGTAGGGAGTATGGGTTTGATCCCTGGTCAGGTAACTAAGATCCCCCATTATGTGCAGTGCAGCCAAAATAAAATAGAGCAAAATATAACCGGAAGTTTTATTTTGACTCAAAGGAACCTGATAAACTGACAATGAAAAGGTGGGATTTGGGTGTTGCCCACAGTGTTTCACCCAGACTATCTAGATTCAAAGCTGTAGCAGAAGAAAACCTTCCTGAACTAAAGGAGTGCCTTCTCTTGACACTGAAAGACTTGATTGTGAGCAAAAGAAAAAACAGAGAACATGAAGTTTCATGAAATGACTGGATCACAAACACCCAGGAAAAAAGTAGATCACCAACAGGAAAAAATAAGCTTGCCCAGGCTTTAATTAACAAAGACTGCAGCTCTTTCCATATTTATTTCCTTAATGTGTCACCATATTTCATTTATTTATTTTGACTGTGCCTTGGGGAGTGTAGAATCTTAGTCCCCTGAGCCCCCTATAGTGGAAGTCCACAGTCAACCACTGGGCTGTCAGGGAAGTCCTAGAGTCAAATTTTAAAGCTATTTCCTTTATTTTCCCTTTACCTCTTCAAATTAAGTTCATTAGATGCAAAAAATATGATGGAGTCTTGTCAGAGATAAAGAAGACATGGCTCAGAAACACTGGATGAAACAGGACGCAATTAATGAAGAGACACTGGATGATGTTCCTTTGGGGTAGAGGAGGGAGCAGCTTCAGAGCTATGTAATAATTAGGTGTTGGAATGGATGGGCGGAAGCTTTGAAACTGCTTTTTGAGAAAATGTACTGATGTGGATATTGGGTCGTCAAGGGGTGGATTGTCATGAACATATCTTGTTTCAGCCCATCCGGAATCCATCCTCCTTTCTTTTTGTAAACGTCTCTCTCCTTTGGCTTGCAGCACTTCCCAGGGTCCGTTGTAGGAAGTCACAGTGGTGCTATCAGTCTGGGTGCCTTGTTTTTCTTCTTGCCCAGTCACTCTGGCCAGAACTTCCAGTACAATTTTGAGCAGAAGTGGCAGAAATGAACATTCTTGTTTAATTTCTTACCTTAAGGGGCAAGCTTTTATTCTTTCATTCATTGAGTATGATGTTGTTCAGTCGTTCAGTTGTGTCCAACTCTGCGACCCCATGGACTGCAGCACATCAGGCTTCCCTGTCCTTCACCATCTCCCAGAGCTGGCTCAAACTCATGTCCATCAAGTCAGTGATGCCATCCAACCACCTCATCCTCTGTCTTCCCCTTCTCCTCCTGACTTCAATCTTTCCCAGCATCAGGGTCTTTTCCAATGAGTCGGTTCTTCGCATCAGGTGGCCAAAGTATTGGAGTTTCAGCATCAGTCTTTCCAATGAATATTCAGGACTGATTTCCTTTGGGATGTTAAAGGAGTGTGATGTTAGCTGTGGGTTTTTCATAAATGCCCTTGATTAAGTTGAGGAAGTTCTCTTCTGTTCCTGGTTTGTTGAGTGTTCTTATGAAAGGGTGTTAGACTTTATCAAATGCTTTATCTGCCTCAGCTGATAACTTTTTTGTTCTTTGTTCTATGAATGTGGTGTATTTGATTCTTTTTTTTTTTTAATTGAACCATCCCTTGCATTGCAGAAATAAATCCCACTTAATCATGTGTATAATCCTTTTACTGTGCTGCTGGATTCAGTTTACAGTTGCTTTTATTCCAGCTCTTTACTTCCCTTGGTGAAAACTCCATTCACCATACTTGCAGCGCCCTAGACAGAAACCCAAACTATGTATATAACAAATACATACATGTATATATAGATAGGTAGATATAGATGTATTTCCAGGGACTGACTTACAAGATTGTGGGGCTGGCAAGTCTGAAGTCTGTAGGACAGGCTGGCAGGCTAGAAGTCTCAGGCAGTAGCTAATGCTTCAGTCTTGAAGTAGAATGCCTTCTTCAGTGAAACTTCAGTTTTGCTCTAAGGCTTTGCAGCTGAATGGATGTGCTCGCTCAGCCGTGTCCGGCTCTGGGACCCCCTGGACTGTAGCCAACCAGGCTCCTCTGTCCATGGGATTTCCTAGGCAAGAGTACTGGAGTGGGCTGCCACTTCCTCCTCCAGGGGATCTTCCCTACTCGGGAATCAAAACTGTGCCTCCTAAATTGGCAGGTGGATTCTTTACCACTGTGCCACCTGGGAATCCTCCTGAATGAATGAGACCCACATTATCAAGGAAAGTCTAGTTTTCTTAAAGTCACCTGATCTAAGATGCTACTGTCTATGAAGTATCTTCACTGGCAGCACCTAGATTTGTGTGTGAATCACTGGGTGCTACAGCCTCGCCAAGCTGACACATAACCAGTTGACACCAACCATCACACCAGGCCTTGTACCTAACTTCTTCCCTTAGCTTGCCTAGCCAATGAAGCAGGAATCCTCTTAATTCTTCCAACTTGATGCTGCTTCAGTCAGTAAACTTCTGAGTCCTTATTACTGCAGCAGTGGCCCCCAAGCGATCTCCTGCTATTAATAATCTCGTGAAATGTGTTTGTCTTTTTAATGTATTTATTAAAGTATATTTTATATACTGCCCCCCTCAGTGTCCTGAATATAGTAACTGTTGCAATTGCTTCTCACAAATGCAGTTTTTACCCTAGGAAAGCACCGAGCAGCTGCAGCTCCTCCGTTTTCAGAATATTCTTTGGCCCTGCCGCTACTCCTCCGTCCAGAGCCTGCGGGCTTTCGGAGATGCGCTGCCTCGCGTCCTCTCCCACGGGCCCAACGCCGGCAGGGTCGGAGTTAGAGGCTAGTAGTGAGCGGCCTTGGTGGGGCGGAGCCGACGGGAACTACATTTCCCAGGCTACTGCGCGGCCCTGGACTTCATGTCCCTGCAGCGCCCGGGGCGGCCCTCGAGGACTCCACTTCCCAGAGTGCCGCGGGAGGGCCTGACCTGGTCCTGCCCCCTCCACCTGGCCCCGGCGCGTGGCTGGGCGCTCAGCCGGCGCCGGAAGCGGCTCTGCGGGCAGGTGGGATCAGGCGCAGGTAAGAAGGCGGGGAGCGCTGAGGGGACCTCGGGGGGTGGGGGGCGCGGCATGGCGAGCCGGGGCCTGGACCTTGGGTGCCCCCTGACCATCAGAAATGCCTGAAGGGTGCCGGGAACTGGGGGCGTGGGAGGGGCCCAGGAAGCACGGAAGGGGCCCAACTGCACTGTGCGAGTGGCTCAGAGTTTGGTCCAGGGGTGGAGGGCTTGGGAAGCGCCTGGGGAAACGTGGGAGGCGCCCGGCTGCAGTAGCGTCTACCCCAGGGCCTGCTGCTACACTGTCCGTGCCATCAGGAGCAGCAGAATGTCCTGGAAGGGCTCCCTCTGGTCCTGGCTGCCCGTGGGGCTCTGCATCGGGGAGTTCAAAGTTCTCCGGTAGCTGCCCGAGCAGATTTCCAGCCCCCAGGATAGGGTCCTCCGAGGTGGTGGTGCCCTGAGGCCTGTCTATTTCTCCAGGTAGCCAGAAGCTTTACCTGCCCAGAAGGAACCAAGCTTTCCAAGGCTAGCTGGAGTGGGAACTGGGCTGCAAACACAGGCGCCGCCCCTTCCCGCAGTCAGTAGCAGACTGACTTTGGGACTTTGGCCAGAAAGCCCTAGACCCAAGGTTGGCTGCCTCCCGTCTTGTGAGCCAGAGAGGAGCCAAGTGTTCTCTTTCTTGGTCCAGTTGGGATCAGGGTTGGTTCTCCGGGCTGAGTGGTAGCCCCAGGCCCCCTATGCAGCTCTAGGCACAGGGCTCCCTGGGGAAAAGAGCTGAGAGGAGCGGATGGCTCAGGCTAGCTGGGTCTGCCTGGTCCCCAGCAGGCAGTCTCCCTGGCCTGGTGACCTCATACTGTGCCCCAGCGCTAGGGGTGGTGACCCTGGGCTGGGGCAGCCCAGGGGAGTGGGGTTCTGTGGGATGGGAGCAGATGGCCTCAGCCTCACATAATTTGGCCCTACAGGTGTAGCCACCATGAGTGATCCTCGGGGGACCAGGCGGATCCTAGTGACTGGGGGCTCAGGGCTGGTGGGCAGAGCCATCCAGAAGGTGGTAGAAGATGGAGCCAGGCTGCCTGGAGAGGACTGGGTGTTTGTCTCCTCCAAGGATGCCGATCTCACGTGAGTCCGCCCATCCCTGGAGCACCCCCACTGTGACCTCTCCAGACTGAGAGCTCCGGACCAGCCCTGTCCCTAGCGGGGCCTCGCATCCGGGCCCTCCCTGCCAGATGGCTGGCCTGGCCAGGGTGTGCACAGCTTTGCTCCTGGGCAAACTTCCTCCTTTCTCTTCCTGGAAGTCCACACTCTCCTACCAGCCAGGACCTGGCCTGGCCACTTTCCCTTTTGGCAGCCCCTCCTGCCTTTGGCCCCTCCTGGCTCCTGCCCCCAGTGCCTTGAGCCAGGGCGCTCGTTCCCTCGGGCCTCCAAGCAGCCTCTGACGGCCTGGCTTCCCCACAGGGATGCTGCACAGACCCGAGCGCTGTTTGAACAGGTCCAGCCCACACATGTCGTCCATCTTGCTGCAATGGTGGGGGGTCTGTTCCGGAATATCAAATACAATTTGGACTTCTGGGTAAGGAAGAGCCCCAGTGAGCACTGGGAGCCAGGATCCCAGATTCTGGGGGCTTTCTGGCCAGCTTCCCAAGCTCTTGTTCTGGCCCCATGAAGCTCCTGAGGGTCAGGGCTTGGCCCAGCAGGTGGGGTAGCCCCAAGGGCCCCCAGTGCCCTACACTTGGGCTGTAGGCAGAGGGGCACACAGGTAGACTGGGGGACGTTTGGCCCAATAGGGAAAGCCAAGAGGTAAATGGGGTTTGGGTGAGCTGAGAGAAGCCAGCATTTGCCGTGTGACCCTGCCTCAACTGCTTCCTGCCTCCTGGGCCTCCAGATGCCCCTGCTCCCAGGAGGTCCAGCTGCACTGAGCCTGGGGCGCACCCTGGGCTGCAGAGGTGTGAGCTGGGCCGTCCCAGGGCCCCACCCATGCCAGGCTTTGCCCCTGAGGGCTGTCCCTGTCTCTGCCGCTGGCCTTGGTGTGGTTCAGCCCTGTTGTGGGCCTGGGATGGTGGAAGCTTAGACCTGATTCTGCATGTGGGCTTGTCCTCCTTGTCTCAGCGACAGCCTTCCTGGGAGACTGCCTGACCACCACCTCTCCCCTCTCCCCAGACCACCCAAATGCCCCGGCCAGCTTATGTCCTTGGAGAGGGAAGTGAGGCCCGAGGAGGGGTGTGGCCGGCCCAGGCTTCATTGCTACTGAGCAGTAGAGCCAGGGGTGAGCTCCTGGGGTTGGGGGTGTGGAAGGCCCCCATCTTCCCTCCCTGCCTCAGGGCCAGATTGGGCCCCCTGGGCTTCTGCACCACCTCAGCAGCCCCTGAGGGTGGGGCTCAGCCCTGAGCTTGGGGTGTAGCTCTCTCCTCCGAGGTCCTCCCGCAGCCTCAGGGGAGGCAAGCCTAGACCCTTCTGCAGTCCTGGGGGTGGGCCCTGGGAGTAGTTGGAACTCAGGCTCAGATATGGCCTCCAGGGTGCGACCCCTCTTCAGTCTCTGGAGGAGCAGGTGAGGCCTTGGACCCTGCCTGGAGGGGCCTGAGCCCTGCTTCCCACCCCCCCGCAGAGGAAAAACATACACATCAATGATAATGTGCTACACTCGGCCTTCGAGGTGGGCGTGCGCAAGGTGGTCTCCTGCCTGTCCACCTGCATCTTCCCAGACAAGACCACCTACCCCATCGATGAGACCATGGTGAGGGGGGTGCCTAGGCAGGGTGGGGCCTGGCCTGGGGGCGGGGCTGAGAAGCAGTGGGTCCTCTGCTCCCCCAGATTCACAACGGGCCGCCGCACAGCAGCAATTTTGGCTACTCTTACGCCAAGAGGATGATCGATGTGCAGAACAGGTCCTCCTCCTGCGCCCCCTGGGTGGAGGCCAGTCAGGGCTGGGGAAGGGGTCCGGGGTGCCCCGTGGTGGGTGGGCCCAGGGAGCAGCCCGGCAGGGCTCCCAGACCTCAGCTGGGGCGGGACTCGGGGTGGGATGGGCCAGTGGCCCCAGGGTGAGGGCCAGAGGGGATGCTGTGCTGCCGCAGAGCCTACTTCCAGCAGCATGGCTGCACCTTCACCGCTGTCATCCCCACCAATGTCTTCGGGCCCCACGACAACTTCAGTATCGAGGACGGCCACGTACTGCCCGGCCTCATCCACAAGGTGCACCTGGCCAAGAGTGAGTGCCTGCTGCCCGTGGGGGCCCCTGGGGCGCAGCCCGGGGAGGGGGGATGGCTGATGCTGCCACAGCACCTCTGACACCCGCCCTCCCGACCCACAGGCAGCGGCTCAGCCTTGACGGTGTGGGGCACAGGGAGGCCCCGGAGGCAGTTCATCTACTCACTGGTTGGTGCCGCAGCGGGGCACGGCTGTCCCTCAGAACGTCTCCTGGGGCCGCCATGCTAGCCATGGGCAGGCGGGAGGGAGCCTGGGAAGGGGTGGGGGTCCACACTGCCCCCGTCCTCGCTGGGGCCCTGTAGGTTCCTGTCTGTGAGAGAGTCACTGAGGTAGCTCTGAGCTCATCTGGAGGAGGGACTTGGGGCACAGCTGGCCGGCCAGTGCCCAAAGGGAGGGACCTGGGCTGGAGAGGGGACGCGTGCCTGTGGCTGTCACTGGTCACCTCTGACCCTGGACATCTGACTGGCAGGACCTGGCCCGGCTCTTTATCTGGGCCCTGCGGGAGTACGATGAGGTGGAGCCCATCATCCTGTCAGGTGGGCGCCCAGCAGCCCCACCCCCACCCCCACCAGCTGGGTGGGACCCCATCTGTCTCTGGAGCCACCGAGCAGGGAGGGGACTTCTGGGGGCTGGGCAGTGGGGGCCTGACCCGGCTGTTGGTCCCTGGCTCCCCACAGTGGGTGAGGAGGATGAGGTGTCCATCCAGGAGGCAGCGGAGGCCGTGGTAGAGGCCATGGACTTCCATGGGGAGGTCACTGTATCCTTTGGTCGGAGGCTGGGGTGCCTCGAGCCTCCCTGCAGAAGACTGTGCCCTGATGCCCCCATGGCACTCACCCTGGCGGCCGGGGGGTGGGGGCACTGCTGCTCTGCCCTGGAGGCTCCGTCAGGCTCAAGAGCAGGCGGGGGGGTGGTGGGGCTTCCCCTTGTGCTGAGGCCTTGACCAGGTGCTCAGTTTGATACAACCAAGTCAGATGGGCAGTTTAAGAAGACAGCCAGTAATGCCAAGCTGCGGGCTTACCTGCCCGATTTCCAGTTCACGCCCTTCAAGCAGGGTGAGCCTCCCACCCTGTTCCTCAGGGCATTCCGGCCTCTCCCAGGGGCCACCACTGCCCCTGCCCAGGCCTCAGTTTCCCCACTGCCTGCTGTGGGGGACACTCTGTGGGTTTGGCCTCCATGCCCTCACTGCAGAGGCAGGACTCCCTGGGTCCCCCTCCTCCTCCCTCCTCCCGGGAGGTTAGGACCACCCTGGTCCTCACCTGCCCACCAGGCCCTCACCTGCCCACTGGGCCCTCACCTGCCCGCCTCTGCAGCCGTGAAGGAGACCTGTGTCTGGTTCACCGACAACTATGAGCAGGCCCGGAAGTGAGGCCTGCGGCCGGAGCCGGTCCACCACTTCCCCAGGTCCCGGCCAGCAGTGCCCAGCGGCTGCCACTCACAGAACCTGCCAGGAGCTGGGCGCACCGCCTGCCCGCCTGATGGTGGCCTCTGCTCCACTCCGTCTGCCGAGGCAGGCCTCAGTGACTGTCTGGTGGGGCCTCCGTCCATGTCAGGGAAGCCAGACCCAGCACCCTGCTCCCCAACTCCATCCCTGAGTGTCCCCTTCTGATCCCTGGGAGCCAATAAAGAGCATTTTCACAGGCCTGTGTGCCAACCACCCCTGTCCCCACCCACCAGCCCCCAAGAGCTGCTGGGCCATGGTGACCAACTGCCCCTGGGGCAGAAGGGTGGCAGTGGGCGGAGACACAGAGTGGTGGTGAGTGGGCAGGTGGCAGGAGAGGGTGGGCTGTCAGCTGGTGGGGACAAAGGGCAGGGCACCTGCAGTGGTTCCAGTGTGGCGGCCAGAGCCAGCCTCTCCCCACACGGCCACATATGGGCCTGGGTAACTGCACTCCCCAGGGCTACCCCGCTTCCTCCCAGGACTTCGGGGAAGGAGGCTGGGTCTGGGTTTGGAAAGGCCAGGCGGGCACAGAGGGATCTGAGGAGATTGTCAGTCTGCTGGTTCAGGCTCCCCTGGGGCCCTAGTAGAGAGGAGCTCGACCTGGCCCTTTCATCTCCCTAGCCCTCATGTGGCAGCTTGGGTGCTGGGGCCCAGCCTGTCCTTCTCCTGTGGACAGTGACAGGTGTCACGCAGGAGTGACCTGGCGGGCAGGGAGGGGAGTGGCACCTTCCTCAACAGGAAGATTTAGACGGGTTGACCTGTTGGCGCCCTGGCCAGTCAGGCAGTGCTGTGGGTGCCCAGCCTCCAGGCCAGAGCAGGACTGCCTCCCTCAGGACCCAGGCACCTTCCCTGGCTCTGGGGTCCCCCTCTTCACGAGTGTGTGCGCCCACACAGTCATGACATCTTTTGTTTATCTGGGCAGTGTCGGCTGTCCCCCCTGTGCTGGGCACACGATCCCGCCCTCTGCGCCCTGTCCAGCTGACCACACACTGCATTTGTCACCACCCCATTCCTCTCCCCGATAGTGTCAGTGCCTCCCTACCTTCTCAGTTTCTGTCCAGAGGGTTATTCCTCTCTGAAGCCCATCCCACCAGCCTGCTTCTCCAGAAATTCCTTCCTTCCCCCACCCCCACGACTCAGAGCTCCAGGACCAGGTCTGCCTTCATGGTGTTATCCCCCCAGGCGCCAGCCATTTGTGAATGAAGGGTCTGCTGGTTAAGGGAGATGGGCAGGGGTGGCACCTGAGTTGGAGCTTGGATCAGCCCAGTGAGAAGGGGGCAGGAGCAGAAAGGCCCGGACATGCCTGGGAGGACACTAATAGTGGTTGCATGTCCTGAACTGTCCCTTGCAAGATGTGTGTATCATAGAGGGGCAGGTCTGCAGGGTAGGGCTTTGGCTGTCCATTCTGCTGCTGTGAGGCCTTCATTCCCAGCCTCAGAGCAGGGGCTTCTCACTGAAGGGACAGCGTTGAGTGAGTGAGGGACTCTCATTGTTGAAGAACTTTCCAGTTGTTGTGTCTCACTCTTTTTGTGACCCCATGGAGCCCGCGAGGCTCCTCTGTCCACAGGATTTCCCAGGCAAGAATACCAGAGTGGGTTGCCATTTCCTCCTCCAGGGGATCTTGCCAACCCTGGGATTGAACCTGTGTCTCCTGTGTTGCAGGAAGATTCTTTCCACTGAGCCACCTGGGAAGCCCGCTGAAGAATTTAGAACGTGCCAAAGTAGAGTTTAAAGAAAATAACAAAATGTTTTTTAAAATGCAATCTTAAAAGCTGCAGTCTAAGCTTATTTTTCCTAAGTCAATAAAAAATTACAAGCACACCCCACACCCACCCTCCCCCTCTCAGTCTCTAAGGTGCTTCCTGTCCCCAGCCATACACTTTCTTCCTTAGGACCAACTAGAGAGGCCAGGTCTCTCCTGGGGAACACCTCAGGAAGGTCTCCCCTGCCTCCCTACATAGCTCCCTGAGAGGCTCTCAGAAACCAAAACCCAGGCTGGCCTGAGGAGCTTCTTTAACAGCAAAGCCGCAGACCGCTGCTCCCACGTTTCACTGGCTGCGTCAATTTTATGCTGTCACTCGGACCCACTGCAACTTGGGGGAAAGCTGACCACAAGCCGGGACCAGGCAGCCCTGTTCCCCACACCCGACTGCTCACAGGCTCCAAACAGAACCAGTGCGCGCTGTTCCCACCCAGAAACCGGCCCGAGGCCGGCAGAGTCCCACTCGCTAGCTACCGATAAGCGGAAGTCCGGATTCTGGCTGCCAGGAGTTTCATCAGAATCTGCTCAGCCGCCGCCTCCTGGAAGCTCAGCTGGCCGGTGTCCATCACTGCTTTCCCATTGGCCCCGCGAGGGACCCCATCCCACAGCAGCCTCCACCCTTTCCGACCCTTCGCTTGTAAATGGACCCTCTCAAGCTGCTACTTGCGAAATTCACACACCAGTGGAGCACCCAGGTACGCAACCGGCCAGAGTACCCGACGCTTCGAGCGGCGCCGCGCCTCGCCCCTCGCGGCACTACGCACCGCACGGAAACCCCGGGAGAGGGCGGAGCGTGAGTTCTCCGCAGCCAATGGACGAGCGCAGGTGAGGCCCCCGCAGCCTATTGGCGTAGCTGAGGGCGGGGGCGGGGCGCGGCGCGGCGGCGTGATGGCGGCGGCGGCGGCGGAGTCCGGCGGGAGGCGAGTGGGCTTCGTGGGCGCGGGCCGCATGGCGGAGGCCATCGCGCATGGCCTCATCCAAGCAGGTAGGGCGCCACGGGCGTAGGGCGCGTGGGGACCCCGGGCTTGGGGCCAGCGGGCGTCCGAGACTGGCCTGAGGTGAGAGGGGCGGGCTTACCTGTCCCGTGCCCGCCTGCCCCGCGGATCCCAGAGCAGCGCGGCGCCCTAGGCGCAGGGGCCCCAGGGTGGAGCTCGCCGTCGGGCGTGGGACAGGACGGCTCGCGGACTCTGCCTTTCCGGACTCTGTTTCCTCTGGGAGCTCGGCTGGAGGGGATGTGGTGGAGAGGCTCAGAGGCAGCCGTCCACACGGTAACCGTAAGGCGGTCGGAATTGGGATGCGCTGTGAGTGCATCAGTTCAGTCGCGTCCAACTCTTTGCTACCCCATGGACCGGAGCACGCCAGGCTTCCCTGCCCATCACCAACTCCCGGAGCTTGCTCAAACTCATGTCCATCGAGTCGGTGATGCCATCCAACCATCTCATCCTCTGTCGTCCCTTTCTCCCACCTTCAATCTTTCCCAGCGTCAGGGTCTTTTCCAATGAGTCAGTCCTTTGCATCAAGTGGCCAAATTATTGGAGTTTCAGCTTCAGCATCAGTCCTTCCAATGAATATTCTGGTTTCCTTTAGGATGGACTAGTTTGATCTCCTTGCAGTTCAAGGGACTCTCAAGAGGCTTCTCCAACACCACAGTTAGAAAGCATCAATTTTTGGACGCTCAGCTTTCTTTATAGTCCAACTCTCACATTCATACATGACTAGTGGAAAAACCATAGTTTTTACTAGATCGACCTTTGTTGGCAAAGTAATGTCTGTGCTTTTTAATATGCTGTCTAGGTTGGTCATAGCTTTTCTTTCAAGGAGCAAGTGTCTTTTCATTTCATGGCTGCAGTCACCATCTGCAGTGATTTTGGAGCCCAAGAAAATAAAGTCTGTCACAGTTTCCCCTGTTTCTCCATCTATTTGCCATGATGTAATGGGGCCAGATGCCATAATCTTAGTTTCTGAATATTGAGTTTTAAGCCAAGTTTTTCACTCTCTTCTTTCACTTTCATCAAGAGACTTTTCAGTTCTTTGCTTTTGCCCTAAAGGTGGTGTCATCTGCATATCTGAGGTTATTAATATTCCTCCCAGTAATCTTGATTCCAGCTTGTGCTTCATCTAGCCTGGCATTTCACATGACGTACTCTGCATATAATTTAAATAAGCAGGGTGACAATATACAGCCTTGACGTTCTCCTTTCCCGATTTGGAACCAGTCTGTTGTTCCATGTCCAGTTCTAACTGTTGCTTCTTCACCTGCATACAGATTTCTCAGGAGGCAAGTCAGGTGCTCTGGTATTCCATTGTGAGTGCATAAAATAACATATATGCTGAGTTTGGAAGATTCAGCACACAAACAAAAAGTAATGTATCTTAGTAATTTTTAATGTTGATTAGCTGTTGGAAGGATAACATTTTAGCTACCTTAGTTTAAATAAAATGTATTATAATTAAACTTGTTTTTTCCTGATTGTTTAATATGACTACTAGAAGTTGTAACGTGACATGTATGGGTTGAGCAGTGTTTCTCTTGGACAGTCCTAGCTTAGAGTGAGATCTCGTGCCTTGGTTGAGTTGCCTGACGGCTCTGAGCCTATGTCTCTTCTTTTGATTTGTTTGCCAGCAGCACTCCTAGTATCCGGCACTGCATATCTGGAGCCAGATCATCCTCCATCCTTCATGTTGTAGGGTGTTTAGCTCCCTTCCGTGGCTTCTCCCCACGAGGGGTCAGTAACATTCCCAGTTGTGAGAGCCAAAAATGTCTCCAAACCTTGCCAGTGTTGGGGGCAGGCAAAATCATTGGTTGAGAAGATCATGGCATCCGGTCCCATCACTTCATGGCAAAAAGATGGGGAAACAATGGAAACAGTGACAGACTTTATTTTCTTGGGCTCCAAAATCACTGCAGATGGTGATTGCAGCCATGAAATTAAATTCGGTTGCTCTTTGGGAAAAAAGCTATGACCAACCTGACAGCATATTAAAAAGCAGACATTACTTTGCCAACAAAGGTCGATCTAGTCAAAGCTAAGGTTTTTCCAGTAGTCATGTATGGATGTGAGAGTTGGACTATAAAGAAAGCTGAGCATTGAAGAATTGATGCTTTCTAACTGTGGTGTTGGAGAAGACTCTTTGAGAGTCCCTTGAACTGCAAGGAGATCCAACCAGTCCATCCTAAAGTCCTGAATATTCATTGGAAGAACTGACGCTGAAGCTGAAACTCCAATACTTTGGCCACCTGATGTGAAGAACTTCCTTTGAAAAGACCCTGATGCTGGGAAAGATTGAAGGCAGGAGGAGAAGGGGACGACAGAGGATGAGATGGTTGGATGGCATCACTGACTCGATGGACATGAGTTTGAGCAAGCTCCGGGAGTTGGTGATGGACAGGGAAGCTGGCATGCTGCAGTCCATGGGGTTGCAAAGAAACCGACGCGACTGAGCGACTGAACTGAACTACAGCAGGAATGGTGGTAGTGTCCTGATCGTGCTCCACAGTATTTAGGATCTTTTTGTAGTGATTATGGACTAGCTTTTTGCCTTTAGCTGTATGTCAAGGTCTAGAGAGATGAAAATCATCAGAAAGCAGGTTATTGCAAACCTCAGGTGTTTACTTGTAAAACTTGGAGTGTTACCTGCTACCCCGTTACATGGAGTTCATGTTGACACAGTGCAGGCAACACATAGTGGCTGCGACCATCTGTCCAGGTTGTGGGGTGCATTTCTGCCTTCTTGTTAGACCTTGTAGAAATCTGATCTGTAGAGGATTCTGCCAAACAGGCATTCTCTGCTTGGATGTGCCAGCACAGACACACCCTCTTCCTAGGGTTCATCCTTATCCCTCACCCTCCCTTCCCCGGCCTCCGTACCCACCATGCCCCCTCCCCAGCCTTCCTATTCCTAGTAGCAGCAGTCCCTGGGATCCACGCCCTCACAAGACAAGGCGAACTCCTGGTCCCTGTGTCCAGCATCGTGTCTGGACTCGGCAGCAGGTAGGCAGCAGTGACTGCTGGGTAGAATCAAGTGAGACTGGTGGTCTGGTCTGGTCCCGGCCGCGTGGAACTGCCCCGCTGAGCTCCTGGCTTCTTGGAGAGGCTCAGGATGGCCCAGGTTTGGCTGAGCCTCAGAGACTTGCAGACCCGGCAGGCTCGCTCCACCGCCCCGCCTTCCTCACTGACACCCCCACTCTTCTTTGTTTTTCCCTCCAGGAAAAGTGGAACCTGAGCACGTGCTGGCCAGCGCGCCCTCCGACAGGAACCTCTGCCGTTTCCAGGTGAGCGGGCAGCTCCCAGGTGGCTCTTGGCTCCTGTCCCTCAGACGCTCTTTGGGGCCAGGGAAGTGCTGCTTACTTGGCTAAAGTTTTGAGATGGCCTGGGCTGGGGAAGGGGAGGTCAAAGGCCAGAAGGAACATCAGGGTTGTGGAGGGCCAGGGCGGGGTAAAGGGGTGTGCGTGCTGGGTGGGCAGGAACGTCATGGGCACTCACCAGCTCAGACGGCTTGAGGCTGTGCTGCCGTCAGGGCCCACCTGAGGTCAGGTCCTGAGCAGGGACGGGTGGTCTGGCCGCTGGGAGTAGAGCCATCCGCAGTGGGGGCCGGCAGGGGGGCTGCGGTCTGGAGGACGCCTGCTGAAAGACCTGGCCCTGGCGTCCCTGCTGCAGGCCATGGGCTGCCAGACCACCCACTCCAACCTGGAGGTGCTGCACAGCTGCCCCCTCGTCTTCTTCGCCACCAAGCCCCACATCCTGCCCGCCGTGCTGGTGGAGGTGGCTCCTGCTGTCACTGCGGAGCACATCTTGGTGTCCGTGGCCGCTGGGGTGTCCCTGAGCACCCTGGAGGAGGTGAGTGGCCCTTGAGGGTGTGGTGGGGCTGAGACGCTGACCCCAGGCTGGGCTCTGCTGACCAGACTCGACTTCCCATCCCGGCCATCCCAGACCGGCTGCAGCTGGGGCCTGGCCCTTCCAGAAGCCAGCATGGGTGGGTTGGGGAGCAGAGTCTTCCGCCGGCTGGCACAGGCCTCACTGACCACAGCCTCTCTCTGGCAGCTGCTGCCCCCGAAGGCTCGGGTGCTCAGGGTCTCACCCAACCTGCCCTGCATCGTCCAGGAGGGTGCCATGGTGATGGCGCGGGGCTGCCACGCTGGGAGCTATGAGGCCCAGCTCCTGCGGTCCCTGCTGGAGGCCTGCGGGCAGTGCGAGGAGGTGCCCGAGGCCCAGGTGGACATCCACACCGGCCTCAGCGGCAGCGGCGTAGCCTTTGTGAGTGTGGTGGGCAGCCCTCCCTCTGCAAAGTGGGACCTTCCCAAGCCCCTGCAACAGCCCCTGCCCCCAGGGATCCGTGCTTGTTCCTCAGCTGCCCGTGTGTGCCCACCCGTCAGTGCCTTCCTGGGCCTTTGAGACCGGCCCCTTGGCAGACCTCTGGGCTCCGGCCTTGGCTGTGGTGGTTGGTGCCCTGGGCCTTGTTCTGAAGGTTCCCAGCCTTCTCCAGGCTGGGTGCTGAGTCCCAGGGAGGGCTAGCTTTGACTCCCGCCCCCTCCCCACTGCTACAGGTGTGTGCCTTCTCTGAGGCCTTGGCTGAAGGTGCTGTCAAAATGGGCATGCCCAGTGGCCTGGCCCACCGCATCGCTGCCCAGACCCTGCTGGTGAGACCCTGCTGCACGGCCCGGGGAGTGTGTAGAAGGGGAGGGTCAGCATGGGGAGGCAGCCAGCTGGCCTGAGTTGAGACAGGGTGCTGGGGGGATGAGCTGCAGACAGGCTGCCAGCACCACCCCCCCGCCAAGTCACCCCAACACCTCTCTCCAGGGAACAGCCAAGGTGCTTCTACAGAAGGGGCAGCACCCGGCTCAGCTGCGGACTGACGTGTGCACGCCAGGCGGCACCACCATCTACGGGCTCCATGCGCTGGAGCAGGGTGGGCTGCGGGCCGCAGCCATGAGTGCCGTGGAGGCCGCCACCTGTCGGGCCAGGGAGCTCAGCAGGAAGTAGGTGCGGGCCACGCCTCTACCCTGTGGTGGCTTGGGTCCCCTGTCCTGCAGGGAGGAGGGGCCCTGGCCCGCAGGGAACACAGCAGGGTGTGGCCCCTCCCTGGACCCTAAGCTCCTGGCAAGGGCAGGGAGAGCTGGCCCTGATGACCCTTCCCTGGGTCAGGAGCCCCAAAGGGTCCTGTGGCCTGGACTCTGACTACCAGATTTGGTTCTCAACATGTCCGTGAAGGGACCAACAGGCCTGGAAAGCCAGAAACGTGGAACCTTTGTTGGGGGACTGCCCCATCCCATGCAGGCCCAAGTGCTGGAGCCCCTTCCCGCCACCTGCCAGCTGCCGGGCGTCTGTGAACAGGGCTGATGCACCCGCCGGCCACCCCCACTCTGCTGCCCGGCCTTGAGCCCTCCCCGAGTTCCAGCCACCAGTGTCCCGCTGGCCCTCAGCCAGGGACTGCTTGTCTGACCCCGGCCCTTCTACTAGTTAGAACGGTCAGCCTGAGTCCATTTCTTCACCTATTTTTTTTTTTAACCTTCAAAAATGGAAATAAAGATGCTGTCCTATAGCATGGAGCGATCAATGTTTCACTGGAGGTGGATAAAACCAAATCCCAGTGCCTGGAGTCCCATCAGCAAGGCCCTGGGCTCAGACTCAAGTGGGTGGTGCAGATGGAGCTCCCCTCTATCTCCCATCACCCCCCTCAGCAACGCGTTGGCCACCAAAGTCCCTGGGCCCAAGCTGGGGCCCTGCCCTGAGGTGGCCAGTCTGCGTGAGGCATCTGTGGGCCCACTGCTGTTCCTCCCTGCTTCTCAGATGGTGTTCTGGAACTATGCACTGGATGCAGTTACAAAAGTGACTGGGACAGAGCTTGTGTGAAGTGGGCATGTTCAGCCTTTATTATAAAGTGAGGCTGGCTGTGAAAGGGCCCCTTGACAGAGTAAGCACCTCAGAGCCCACTCCAGCCCCCCCTGCCCCCGAGATCCTGACCTGCTCTCCGGCCCACAGGCTCAGGGCCAACCCCCGCACTGGCAAGGCCCCTTCCTCACCGCAGGCTCCAGGGCTCCATCCGTGGTCCGCTGTCACCTGGGGGCTTGTTCCCCAGTGTGTGGTCCCTCGGGCAAGGCTGGCCTGACACGGTGGGTTCACTCTCCTGACCCCCCTGGTGGGCTGGTATCAGCAGAAGTCATGGGTGGCACTTTCTGCCCACTGCTGATTCTGCCAGGTCAGCCCTGAGGTCCTGCCTGGGGGCTACTGGCTTGAAATTCGTGACCCTCCCTGCCTTAAGGGTTCAGCAGATGATGGTGAACAGGAGCAGAGAGCCTGGCAGCTGAGATGCCTCGGGCCCAGCGGTAACCACAGCAAGGCACTTCAGCTGTTCTCCCCACGGTTCACAGAGCTGAGCTCCAGGAGCTGGGCCTGCACTCTAGGGAGGAGGACTTCAGAGGCCCTTGCGTGAGGTGTCCTCAGCCCCACCCCCAACCAGGCCCTGGCTCTTCCAAGGCCCAGACCAGCCTGCGCTGTGCCTCATTCCTGCACTGCCATTTGGGGCCAGGCACTGGCCAGAGCTGCCTTCTGGGGTGCAGCCTCAGTGCCCCAGAGGGGGTGAGGCAGGAGGCTCTGTCCCAACACCCAGTTCTCAACATCAACCGCAGCCCCCCTGCCCAGACCCCGGGGACAGAGGACCAAAGGTGAGACCGGGAACCTGGCGAGAGGGGTGGCACCGAGGACACCACCAGAGACTACTCTGGCCCGGCGCCCACCCGGGCTTTGAGTCTGCTCCCTCGCAGGGCCCTGCAGGACAGAGTCCCCGCAGGCGGGCTATGGTGAACAGGTGCTCTCTCCCAGGCCTGACAGTGTGACATGCAAGACATCCTGAGGCCAGAGGCGTGGGCCGGGTGTAGGCCTGCCGCAGCCGCTAGTGGAATGAGGGCAGCAGGTGAGGTGGAGGCTTTAGCTGGGGCTGGTGGCCATGCCTCCCTTCTCGCCTGGAATCCTCTGCACCATCCATCAGCTTTCAGATCGGACATATACACGTACATGTGTGGGTGTTTTGACTAGAGGTGGTTCCAAGAAGAGCTGACATCTTTGCTCCGGGGGCACCCCCGTGGCCCTGCCACCATGCATGGCCCTTCCCTCCCAGAAACACATCACCTGGGTGTGGCCTCCACAGCCCAGGAGCACCAGGAGGCGGGGGCAGGTGAAGAGGAGGGCAGAGCACCGAGGCAGGCAGCAGCACCTCAAATCCAGCCCTCCTCAGGGCTCTGGGCGTCTCTGCCGGCCAGCCCCTGGGAGACCTGGGTGTCTCAGCCTCAGGCCCCCAACAGGGTCCTGAATCTAGAGCTGAGTGGAGCAGCAAAACAGTGTGGGAGCTGGAGGGTCACACGGAGCCCTCACCGCCTCCTTTCAAGCCGTGCCACCCAGAAGCCTAATTCACGGCCTGTGGGTAACGGCTCCTCGGCTATGCCCCAGGCAGTGCCGGGAGCCAGGCAGCCTCAGAGGGGAGCTAAGGCACTGAGGGTTGTCCTGGCATGCCTGGCGGTGCCACAGGGGTGCTCCGAGAAGACAGCATGGCTCCAGGCCCTGAGGCTGCTGGGGTGCGGGGCAGGGGCCCAGGTCTAGTGCTCCTCAACCCTACAGAATGAAAGCTGTTTAGCATGGCATTTCCTTAAAGACAAAAAACACAAGAACCTTGGCTGCACCCAGAAACTCAAAGCCCCATCCTTCTTTCCCAGCCCCCCGAGCATCTGCCCTGGGTCTGAAGAGTACCTGGAAAAAACAGAGTTAATGCGCCAAACCAAAGACCAGTGGTGTGCTTCCCGCTGGGACGACCACAGAGCTGTGATCCATGGGGACTGGACGCCGGGCCCTTGTCCAGGGCAAGTGCTGGGCCACAGGGGCTGGGGGGACAGGAACGTGGCTGGGGCAGCCCCACAGGGGCCAGAGAGAACATGGCTATCTGCTCTCTGCTAAGCGCTGTGGCGTATGCCAGGTCCGCGTGGGAGGGTGCCTGGCCGAGCCACGTGTGGGCCTGCCCGGGGAGGAGGGGCGGCCACGGCCTCTCTTCCAGCTAACCCAGCATCAGATGGGGTGCCAGTGGAGGGGCCGGCCCTTCACCAACAGGGCTCTCTCAGGCCAGGCTGGGATCCCTGTCAACCCCTGAGCCTTGGGGGTGGGCCACTCCAGGGAAGGCAAGGCAAGATGGGATCTCTGTCTGTCTCCCCTCCACGTGCCTCAGGAGAAAGGCCACTGGGGGCTGCCAGGGCGGGCTTGGTTACAGCCCGTCGTCGGGAACTGTGGATGAGGGCCCGATGCCCCCCAGCCTCCGGGCCATGCTGATGAGTGAGCGCAGCTGCACCAGCTTCTGCGGCCCCACCTCCCGGGGGTCCTGGGTCTCCAGCCACCGCAGCGCTGTCTCCAGACCCCGAACAGCCTCCCCAGCGGTGGGGACGGCCTCCTCCTCCTCTGCTCCTCCTGCCACCGCTGAGGGTAGGCTGGCAGGGAGCAGGGGGCCCCCGGGGACCAGCACGGGAGGCCGGCTGGGGCCCCAGTCCTCTCTGCCACTGTCGGGCAGCCCCCCATCATCGTCCAGGTGCAGCCACTCGGCCACCTCCTCAGGAGCCAGGCGTTTGTAAGCCAGGGCTGCCAGGTGCGTGAGGTCGCTGAGCACCCTGCTGCGCTCCGCGGCCTCCTCGGCCTGGCCAGCAGGCTGCCCAGCGCGCTCCTCCACCGGCCGGGGCTCGAAGGCAGCCCGCAAGCCCAGCAGCCAGCAGCGCTCAATGCTGCCCGCCTGCACCAGGTCCCAGGAGAGGCCGGCCAGGTAGAGCATGTCCTTGAGCATGAAGCTGCGCATGAAGTCCAGCGGGGATCCCCCGGCGCAGGACACGGCCAACCGCAGCAGCTCCCGCTTGTACAGCTGCTTAAACGCGACCACCACCCCCTGCTCTAGGGGGGCGGGTATGTGCACTCGGCCGCTGCCCCTGCACAGGAACAGCACCCGCACAGCCCCGTCGGGGGTCTGCAGCTCCTCCGGGGGACCGATGGGCTCGGGCCGGTACTTCCTGCGGGTCTCCTCGCTCTCCTCCAGGGCGGGCATCCTGGCCCCAGAGCTGGGGCAGGGAGGGTGGGCCACCAGCAGCACGGCCTTCTGCTGCAGGCAGCTGCGGCGCAGGTAGCGCCTGACACCCGGGACGAACTCCTCGAAGAACCAGCCGCGCAGCAGCGGGCGGCTGAGCCAGGCGTCGGGGCTGTAGCGGTAGGAGGCGGGGAACTTGTCCTGGTTGTGGTGGCGCAGGCTTGGTGGGTCTGGCAGCTGCCCGATGACCAGCGGCTTCAGTTTGTGGCTGCCGGTCAGGTTAGCGGCCAGCAGGACTGTCACCCGGTCGCCCCGCCAGCGGTGGCCACAGCCCCCCGCGCCCACAGGCGCAGCCTGCTCCGGGAGCAGCTTCCAGTAGAGGCCCGTGACGTTGGCGTTGTAGATCTGCTCGTCGCCGTAGCCACCCTCGGCGGGAGCCAGGGTACTAGCGGCGAGGTCGGGCAGGGGCCCGGCGCGGGTGGGCTGCGCGGGCTCCTGCTTGACGGGCGGGCCAGGCGCGGGGCCAGCGGCCGCGGACTCGGCCTCGCCGTAGATACGCTGGCTGGAGATGCCGTGGCGCTTCTGCCAGCGCCAGAACCAGCCGTGGCTGGCCTTGAAGGTGCATTCGGGCCCGTAGATCTGGCGCGCGAAGGCCTCGGCCTGAGCTTGGATGAGCGGCCCCGACAGCGGCACGCCGTGCTGGCGCAGCGCCAGGAACCACGAGTAGACGGCGCGGTCGATCTCCTCCTCGTTGGCCAGCCGCATCTTCTTGCGCTGCGTGCCCACCTCGCCACCCAGCTGCTCCAGGAACCAGCGCAGCTTGGGTTCGTCCTTAAGCCAGCCGCGCAGCGTGCCGCCAGGCACGCCGAAGTCGCGGCACACGCTGGCCTGCCGCTCGCCGCCCTTGACGCGCTCGATGGCTTGCAGCTTATCCTTGATAGAGTAGGCCTTGCGGAAGGCCATCTTCACGGCGACGCGGGGCCGCGGCCCGGGCGCGGGGGGCGGCGGCCGCGCGGCGGGGACCGGGGCGGGCGCGGGGGGCCGCGGCGGTTGCATAGGGCGTCCGACAGGGGGTCGGCGACCGCGGCGAGGGGCCGGGACGGCCGGGGGTCCCGCAGGGTACATGGCTGCTGCGGCGACCGCGACGGCAGCGGGGCCGCTGGAGCCGGAGCCATAGGCCCTCCCGGCCGGCGGCGCTGGGCCGGCGCCGGGGGCGGGGCCGGCCGGGCCCTCCCCTTTGTCTCGCCCGGGGCGCGCGCAGGCGTGCTGGGCCCCCAGTCCCCGCGCGGCGCCGCGCGTCACTGGCCCCCGCCTGCCGAGTCCATCCGAGCTGCGGCGGAGGGGGACGGCCGGGGCCGGCTCCGTGTCCAGTGGTTTGCTCCAGCTCCTCTCGGAAAGATCGAGCTTCACGGGTGTCTCCCACTGGCTTCTCTCCTCGCTCCCGTGGGGAGCGTCGCACGGAGGGCCCGGGCCGCGCGGTAGGGAGTGCGCGCGAGCTGCGTCCCCCGCTCTCCGGCTTGTGGTAGAGCCCGCCGCTTCACTTCCCGTGCGCGGACCGCGTGGCCCTCCCTTTCCTCTGCCGTCGCGCGCCGCCGAACCCTGCTCGTTGGTCGCCGCGTCCTTGGCTGGCGTGTGAGTACCGCGGCTCGCGCCGCCAGGCCCCCGGGCCCAGGGGAGAAGCGGTCCGCGCTGCGCAGGCGGGGGCCGGGCTGCAGTGCCGCGGAGCCCGCGGCGCGGGGCCTACTGCGGGCTGGTGGCCGCCCCGAGGGGCGGGGCGCGCGGGCCACGTGCCCGCTGGATCTCTGCGGCTGGGCGGGAGGGCGGCGGCGGGCGTACCGGGGCCGCTCTGCCCCCCGCCTCGGTGGGTGACATGGATGTTTGCCCAGCCGTGGCCCGGGCCTGTAGCTTCCCGTTTGTACGCGTTTGTTGAGCAGTTAACTGCTGCATGCCGGCTCTGGGCCCGGGGTCCAGGCGCGGGCCCAGCCTCTGTCAACTGTCTCAGAACCTGGACAGTTCACGGACGCGGGGAAGAGTAAGGACGTGATTGCTGGGTGACTCAAACACCGCCTTCCTTGAGAGTGGTGGTGGAGGAGCTAGGTTTGGATAAGGTGGTCCGGGCTGTTGGGCAGTGTCGCTGGAACGAAGGGAGAGGCTTGTGCTGGAGCCAAGTAGGATGGGGATCCGATGGAGGCATCCTCAGGTTTGCAGAGCGAAGTGCCGCGGAGAGCAAGAAAGCCGTTTGTGTGGGTGTTCCTTGTCTGTCAGGAGAGCAAGTTGACCCTGGCGGACCTGGGGCTGGGTAGGCCCCAGGTCGTGTCTCAGAAGCAGTTCTGACACTCCCAGCTCCTCTGAGAAGCCTCAGCCGGTAAGTGGGCTGAGCTCACGGTGACTGCGTCCTTCCCGAGACCACCCTCTCCACCAGCTCCAGACACGGGTGTCCGCTGAGAAGGGGTGGCAGACAGACTCCAAGGAGCAGGTGCTCTGGGCCAGCTCTGCGGGGCGGTCAGTCCTGGGCCAGGGCCGGGGGTCCCCTCCAGCTCCTCACCTTGGAGCGCGGCCGCTGTGGGCTTTACAGGAGCCTGGGTGGGTGGCACGGTCCCCTGGCAGAGCCCCTTGCAGGGCCTGTGCCGGGTCTCTGTCCTGGGGAGCTGGGTGAGGCCGCAGGGCTCAGCACAGCTTATCTCCAGTGTTTGTGCCCTGGTGTCAGGTTTCCGGGGGCTGCAGGCAAGAAGTGCTGGCGTGAGCTCTGGCCCTGTGCCCGTTTTAGGATGATATGTGTGATTTCAACGTGGACAGCATTGTGACATTTGTGTGAAGGACTGGTGTCAAAGTGAGACGTGGAGTCCCAGCCCCTCACCTACTGGCCCAGGACATGTCTCCCTCCCCTCCTCCAGCCCACCAGTTGTGTGAGGGGTCACGGGTTCTGGGTGCACGCTGCTGGAGCCGCCCCGGGGGAGGGGCGCAGGACCCGGCGGCCAGGGTGGATTGATGGGGCACCAGAGACAGGGCAGAAATAGCGCCATGGCTGTGGCATTGCAGTGTGGACGGGGCGCTGGCCGGGGTGGGGTGCCATGGGCAGACACAGCGTAGGGCCTGAGTCTTGGGGTGCAGGCGCCCCCCCCCCCTCCTGCCTGCGAGGCAGGTTGGCATTTCTGAGTGGGAGTGAACTGTCCAAGAGTCGGGTGGGAAAGCATCTGAGGAGGAACATGGGGCTGTGGCGGTCACCCCTAGGGGAAGGGCAGGGGGCATCATGGCCCTGCACTTGCCCCGGGGCATAGCTGCCCTCACCCGCCCTCCTGGACCCTGTACGCACGGGGTGCTCTGTCCGGCAGCTCTCAGTCAGGTCACGCCAGCTGAGGGCCCTGTCTGCACACACCTCACCCCAATTCCCACTTCCTGTGGAAGGTGGGCTAGCGCTTTGACCCCCAGGTAGATCACCTGGGAGCCTCTCTGTGTGGCTGTGATGGGGCCGTGTGAGCCCTGGGTTACCCGGAAACCTCCGTTCACCCAGGGACTTGTGGGCCCCCCACCGTGGTGTCCTTCGGGACCCTGAGGCCAGAATATTCTGGGCGGGGCCGCTGCCCGGTCCCTCTTGTCACTGAAGGAACGCCCTCCAGCTGTGCGGAGCCCCAGCCTGGGCCCTGCTTTGGAGACGGTCTGCTGGGCAGAGCCGGTGTACTCCCCAGGCCTGGGCTGGGAGGCAGGGATGAGCTGCTTCACTGCCTTCACCCTGGGGCCTGGCAGCCCTTGCGGCCCCTCTCGTGCAAGAGGTCTCAACTGGCCTCAGTGGTCAGCAGCCTGCCCTTGGCCCTGCAGGCGAGCCAGCGGTCTGGCTGTCCTGAGATACCCTGGCACCCCGCCCTCCAGCATCCTGTCCCAACACCGGCTTCACCAGCCGGCCTGCACTGTGTGGTCGGCCTCTCTGGGATGGCTGTCCTGCACAGTCCTCCTCCTCCCGGAGCCTTGCTGCACGCCCCCTGAGGTTCCTGGTGCACCCTGTGTGCTGCTGACCTGATGCTGGCGCTCTAGTGCTGGCCGCAGCGTGGCATGAACTGGGGGGCAGGACTAGCCGGGTCCTTGGCTCCTGGGATGCCGCCCCTTGTGAATTCAGGGCCAGGCGCCCCATCTGTCCTTTTGTCCCTGAGAGGCCTGTGGGGACAGTGGCACCCTGCCCATCTGGGCTTTTGCCCCTGCCCCAACAGTGGCCCCGAGGGAGAGGCCCTGTCCAGCATGGGCACTGGGCCTGGGTGCCCATGTGGAATCCTTCAGTGGGGTCCTTGTCACCTTGCGCTTGGTCCAGAGGCCTGGACCCTGTGGAGTGGGGGATCCCCACCCTGCTCCCCATGGACAGTGGGGTGCTGGAGGTGCTGGCTCATGCCCAGGTGGGCTCAGGGCGGAGCCCAGCTGGGGCCTTGGTGCTGCAGGGGCTCCGGCCCATTTTGAGTGACAATGGAGCGGCACTGCCTCAAGCGTGGACTTGGCCACCCCCTGGGACTTGGGCGGGTTGGAGGCGGGAGGAGAAGGGGACGACAGAGGATGAGTAGGCTGGATGGCATAACTGACTCAATGGACATGAGTTTGGGTAAACTCCGGGAGTTGGTGATGGACAGGGAGGCCTGGTGCGCTGTAGTCCATGAGGTCGCAAAGAGTCGGACACGACTGAGCGACTGAACTGAATGGGGATTTGGGGGTGAGCTCTGGCTGTCTTTCTCCTCCACCAAACTTGCCTCCACACCGCCTCACCAAGCAGCTTCAGCAAAGGCCCCCAGCCTGCTCGGGCCGCCCTGTCAGACCACCTCTAACCTTGCTGCTTTCTCTTCATGCTGTCCTAGGAGACCAAAGGGAAAGTAAGTACCCTCCTGTCCCAGGCGCCTGGGCACCACAGCCCAGCCCCTGTGCCTGCTGCATCCTGACACCTCCGGGGCGCCTGACCTCATCTGAAGTGGAAGCTGGGCCTGGGGGGTAGCCTCTGCTCTGTCCCGGGCCGAGTCAGCCCCAGCCCCGGCAGTGGGCAGTACCCCTGAGCAGGGATCAGCCTGCGTTCCTCCACCTGTGGGAGGGCAGGGCGCCACCACCGCCCCGGCCAGCCCTGCTCTCAGGCATGTTCAGAAATGGCCCCCTTGCCCGGAGTAGTGGCTCAGAGGGCTCCGGGCGGAGCCTGGCCTGGTGTGAGGAGCCACGTGTCTAGGCTGCTAGGTTCAGGCAGAGCTTCAGCCTGGTGGGCAAGGCTGCTGTGTGAGGGTCTGTGGGCGTGGGCAGAGGGCAGACAGGCCCAGCCTGGTAGGCCCGCAGCCCCCGGGGACAGAGGGTGATGTCACAATGTCCCTGCCCCCTGGGCACCCGGCTCTGCCCCCCATCACTGCCTCTGCCATCAGCCTGGCCTCAGTAAGTGCTGCTGCCGCCCAGCGGGAGGCCCAAGGGGGCGGCCAGGGACCCCTCTAAGCCTGAGGCCCCTGCCCCTCAGAATACAGGGGTCTCTGTGAGGCCCTGGGCAGATCGGGACCTAGCCTGTGCATCACGGGGTAACTGGAGTCGGGTTTTGGTTGGGGGGCTGTAGACCCTGGAGGGAACGGCGGGTAGGGTGTGCCATCAGTCTGCCTCCCCCTGGGTGAGGGCTCCACAGACCTCACAGCGGCAGCAGGGGACACGGGACGTCCTAGGGGGCAGCTGCCCAGCCCCACTCTAGAACTGGCCAGTCTGGTGTGGGCTTGGGGCCCCTGGTGCATCCCAAGAGCAGGCTGGCTTCCTGGGCGGGGCTGCTTCTGGCAGTGGGGGGTGCTTTAGCATTCTGGGCTGCCTGGGTGGGGTCTAGTCTTTGTGGAACCTGATGCCCCAGAGCAGAACGGGGGACCCCATGCCAGCAGCAGGATCGGGGTGTAGCAGAAGCTTGTCCAGGGGCCATGGCGGGAGGTGCCGAGCCCCGTGGTCACCTCCCAGTGTTCCGGTGATGGAGCCCCTTAACCAGAAGGTGCTAAAGTGTGGGGACGGGACTCAGGTGCCCGTGTGGCCCCTCGAGGTGCACCCATGGTAGGGGCTGATTGCCTCCTGCTCTGGAGACGGGGTGATCAGGTTCTGCCTAGGCCACTGGGTACCTTCCCTTTTAGACAGTGATTCCCTGCTCTGTCCCCGGATTTGGCCTCCATGGGGGTGGGCTCTCACCATCTGCTCCTGGCTGCCCCTTGTCCCTGACCCTCCAGTTCCCTCTTGGAACAGGCCCTGCTTAGGATGGCAGTGTGGCCATGCGGGTGGGAGACTCAGGTCAGGCGGGGTGTGCTGTGCGGGGCCGTCCTCTTGAGACCGCCAAGTCATTTCCGTAGAACAGAAGCCCTGGTGCCTCGGGGGTTGGCCAGGCCTAGTGAAAGCACAGGACGTCCAGTTAAAATTTCAGATGAACAGTAAACTCACTTTTCCCAGTTGAGACTGGGAGTCTCAACTGTTTCATGGGACAAACTTATTTTCAAGATCATTTGCTGTCAACGTCAAAGTCAGATTAGTTGAATGTGTCCTGTGTTTTACCTGGTGGCCATTCTTGGGGTTCACAGGAAAGGTTTCTGTAACCAAAGAGGTTTGGAGGGTGTTCTCTGGACCTCTTGGAGAGAGCCTGGGTACTTGTTGGATGAGATATGTTTTGCAGTTAAGATGATACACACGCACACGTGCCCCCCCCCAGCCCTGCACACGCGTGTTGACTGCCTCCCGAGCTCCCTGTGCATGCTGACCCAGGGCACCCCATTCGGGAGGCCGAGCGGGGAGGGCCGACTGGGAGGGGCCGTGTTGCAACTGCCCTCTTGTGCTTGCTTTTTAACGCTGCACGCAAGATGAGGAGCGGGAAGGCCGCCTGGGCCCTGGAGACCGTCTGGGAGGACAAGCAGAAGTATGGGGAAGCCGAGCGGAGGTTCTACGAGCACGAGGCCGCAAGAGCCGCCGCCCAGCAGCTCCTGGCCGAGACGCTGGCCATGAATGGGCCAGGTCAGGAGGACGAGGCGGACAGCGGCGGCAGGAGCGAGCCCGGGAAGAACCTCGATGGAAAGAAGCCACTGCAGAAAAAGAGGAAGCGCTCCCCGAAGGGCTGGCTCGGCCAGGCGGACCTGGCCCTTGTGGGCCTCTCGGCTGACCACGTCTGGCTGGACAAGCCGCTCTTCGACCAGGCGGAGAGCTCATACCGCCAGAGGCTGGCCGATGTGGCCGCCCAGGCAGCCCAGCGTCCCACCCTGGCCCCTGGGGACCCCTGCACCCACGGGAGCCAGGTGGCTTGCCACCACGTGACCTGGGGCGTCTGGGTCAACAAGTCGTCCTTCGACCAGGCTGAGCGGGCATTTGTGGAGTGGTCTCAGGCCCTGCTGCTGGCCACAGAGGGGAGCGGTGCTCAGGGGGCTCCCGACACAGGCCAGCGGGCGGCTGCCCTCGACCGGCGCCTTCTCCGCCAGTCCGGTCCACCGGCCAACGGCCAGCCACCGCTGGGCAGCCTGCAGGCGCTGTTGCGAGAGGTGTGGCTGGAGAAACCCCGCTATGATGCAGCTGAGAGGGGCTTTTACGAGGCCCTGTTTGACGGCCATCCGCCTGGGAAGGTGCGCCTGCAGGAGCGAGCCGGCCAGGCAGAGGGTGCCCGGCGGGGCCGCAGAGACCGGCGGGGCCGCAATGCCGTGGGAAGCAAGCGGCTTGGGCCGCGACGGGCCGACGGGGAGACCGCCTGTGCCCTGCCCTACTGGTACTTCCTGCACAAGGACGCCGAGGCCCCCTGGCTCAGCAAGCCCACCTACGACAGCGCGGAGTGCCGCCACCACGCGGCTGAGGCCCTGCGCATGGCCTGGCGCCTCGAAGCTGCGTCCCTGGCTCACCGACCCAGTTCCCGGCCAGGCCCGTCCGTGTGCAGCCTGAGGCCCAAGTAGGAGAAGCGTGCCGGCTGGGTGCCTGGGCTTCCCAGGCCAGCATGCGCCCCTCCCTGCTCCCGCCCTGGCAGGGCTCCTCCCAAGCCTGCCGGCCGCCCGAGTGGGCTGCCCCAGCAGCTCTCCAGGGGCAGGGCTCTGCCCTGGGCACTGCAGCCTTCTGGGCTCCACCTGAGCCTGCATCCTGATCACTCCCATGGGCTGGAGCGGGCCCAAATATGGTCCGTGTGGGGTTTCCCCTCTGGCCGGGCAGCTTGCAAAGTCCCCCGACAGTCACGGGTGGGGGCTGGGGTGTGCGATGGCGGGTCCTGGTCTCTGAGCCCCACTGGGCCCGGCACCCCACCCCTTCTGCCGTCTCCCCTCCGCCCTCATCTGAAGCCACCTGAGATGAGGTGGGTGTCTCCGGTCCTCTACCTGAGTCTGAAAGGCACCCACTGGACCAGGCTAGCTTGCCTCCTGCCTGTGGACCCGGGGGTCTGGCCCCAGAGTGATTGTGTGCAGTGCCAGCTGATCTCTGGGGGCCAGGGCCTATCTGAGGAAGGGGTCTGCTAGCCTGCGGGGCTCAGGCAGGTGGGCAGAGACGGGTGGACCACAGGCAGCCTGGAGGCACAGCATTAGGGAGAGGGCCAGCGCGCGTGTGGGGCGCTCCCTGGACCCCAGACTCTGGCAGGAGCCCCTCTGCCCCCTCAGAGGGCATGGACACGCTGCTTTGATAGGGTCTTGGCCGTGGTGTGGGGTCTGTTCTGGTCACATGTTCCCCAGAAGGTCGGAGGTGAAGTGTGGGACTAAACAGTCTTCACGGTGCCTCTTGGAGAGGTGGGGGGGGGTCTCAGGGTCCCTCCTCTCTCGTCACTGAGGTCCAGTGGTGGCCGGGGATCTGCAGGAAAGAGTGTTGGTTCGATTGGATCCTGTTCTGTTGCACTGGCTGAGGGATGGGCAACCCTGAGCAGTGGACTTTGCTTGTGTCGTCTGGGCTGTGGCCCAGGTCTAGCGGTTCCCCTGCCCTGCCGAGTGGTGGAAAAGCTGCCGGCTGCAGCCTTGAACGCGGCTGGATCCGGCTCATAGACACACCTGGAGCAGCCAGACTCACACTCGGGGTGTTAGAGAGCGTTTGTTTTCTCTATCGGTTTTCCCACCGTAGCAGTTAAATGCAGTATAATAAGCTTGTTACACATTACTAACATCGACATGAGGAATAGTTTTTCTGTAACATATTCAGTGAAGTGGGGTGGCCTTATTTTGTATTTTTGCAAATCTTGTGTCTGGCTTAATAGGAGACAGCTGGATTCCTAAACCTGCTATGCATTCAGTGTGTGGATGTGTATTGTCTGACCAGTCCAGCCTCGAACAGATACGTGGTGGGGAAAGGAAGGACCTTGGTGATCCCCAGAGGTCCCTGGCCATGCTTTGAGAGTTGCTCATCCTGGGGACTGGCCTGGAGACCACCGGCCTTAGCCCTGAAGGGGGTCCATACAGTGGGCTTGGGGTTAGGGGGGTACCAGGCTCATTGTAGCCCACGCTGAGAATCTCTGGTGCCCTGTTCTGGAACCTGGAGCCCTTGCCACCCAGGACTGGACAGCTTGCCCCGCTCCCTCGGGGTCCAGGCCATCGGGACGGTGTGCGTGTGGGCAGGTCCTGGGCCTTAGTGCGGGCAGCCTGTCCTCCTGGCGGGTCTTAGTCTCTCTCTTCTCTTCAACAGAAAAATGGCCACAAACTTTCTCGTGCATGAGAAGATCTGGTTTGACAAGTTCAAATATGACGATGCAGAAAGGAAGTTCTACGAGCAGATGAACGGGCCCATGGCTGGCTCCTCACGCCAGGTAGGGGCTGCTGCACTTGGGCCTCGGGGTAGCTGAGGCTTAATTTTTTTTTTTTTTAATTTTAATTGAAAAAAACAGACAGGTTCTCTCTGCACCATCTGCAGGAGAATGGCGCCAGTGTGATCCTCCGTGACATTGCGAGAGCCAGAGAAAACATCCAGAAGTCTCTGGCTGGAGTGAGTACTGCCTTCACGCCAGGCGGCCTGTCTGGCATTTCCCCCAGCATGGCCTTTGGGGCACCTTGGGGTGAGGCGTGCAGGGCTGCCCACCGCACTGCTGGAGAGGGCGCCCTCCCTCCTGTGGCCTCGCCAAGCTGGTGGCCACCTGGCGCTGCCCGCCTTGCGGCGGCGGCTCCTATCACCCCAGGCCTGCGTGCTGGCACCTGCCCTCCTTCCTCCGCCCCCGTCAGTGTGGCTGTCCCCGGAGGGGTGGGTCACCATGTCGTCATGGTCGTTCAGGTGCTCAGTCGTGTCCACTTTGTGACCCCATGGACTGCAGCACACCAGGCCTCCCTGTCCTTCACCAGCTCTCAGAGTTTGCTCGAGCTCATGTCCATTGAGTCAGTGATGCCATCCAACCATCTCATCCTCTGTCGTCCCTTCTCCTCCCGCCTTCAATCTTTCCCAGCGTGAGGGTCTTTCTAATGAGTCAGGTGGCCTCTTTGCATCAGGTGGCCGAAGTGTTGAAGCTTCACAGGTCGTGAAGCTACCATCTTGATCGCAGGGCCAGAGAGGGGCCTGCAGCCCAGCGTGGCCTCCCGGCCCACCTGAAGTCAGGAGGGGAGCACAGCCCCGATCAGCTTTGTCCCTGGCCTGACTGGAGCACGGCCCTTGGGGATGGCAGCCCTGCTGCTCGCCCGCCCAGGGCCGCAGGGTAGTGTCCAGCCTCAGGCTCAGTGTCCACAGAGTTGTGCTTCTGGAGACTCCAGGAGAGAACCCACCTTCCTGCCATTTCCAGCCTTGAGAAGCTGTCCACATGCCTTGGCCTGTGGCTTCCAGCCAGCGGTGTCGGGACTATGACACCCATTTCCATCTTGTTTCTTTCTCTCTCCTGCCTCTCCCTGATGGGGCCCTTTGTGACGACACCAGGCCCTGCAGGTTAATCCAGGGTAGCTTGCCCATCCAGCTCCACAGACCCTCTGCCCTGGGGTCACCTTTCCACAGGGTCACGGGACTTGGAGCTGGCTCTGTGATGACAAAGCATCACATACCAGGTGACCGAAACAACACAAACTTGTTTTGACATCCTGGATGGTCAGACTCGGAGTGGAAGGTGTGGATGGGGTGGGCTCCTTCTGAGGTTCTCAGAAGGAGAGGCCTTGGCATGTTGGTGGCTGTCTTCTTCCTATGTTTTTCCATCTTTCTGTGAACAAATCTCCGCTGTCAAGGACACCAGTCACTGGGTTGGGACCCGTATCATGACCCCGTTGCAGCTGATTACCCCTGTGAAGACCCCATTGTTCACAGTGTCTCCCACGCTGAGGCCCTCTGGTGGGGCTTTCAGCTGCCCAGGAAGGGTGCCGGCCCAGCCCTGGGCTTGGGTTGAGACAGACGGGCTCAGCACACACCAGGGCTCCAGAGGTTCCTGGGGGCTGCTGGTGCCAGGCAGGCTGCAGGCAGGGACACAGGCTTCCGGGCACAGAACCTCGGGTGGCACTGCCCGCACCCTGCTGTCATTGAACGGCCCCTGCCCTGAGCCCTCAGCTTCCTCCGCAGAGTCAAGGTGGGAGGCTAGGCCCGGGGCCTGGAGGCCGTGGGCTGAGTGGCCGGTGTCCTCGTGGCCCTGCGGCAGGTGGGGCCTTGTCTGAAACCTGCGACCTGGGGGCCCATCAGTGTTGTTGGGGCTGTGTCTGGAGGTCCCCAGCCCTGGGTGGCGGGCACAGCAGGGCGAAGGTTTGAGGCTGCAGCCGCCTCGAAGCTCTGGGGCCTGTTTGATCCGCTTTGTGGGTGCGGATCCTCCAAGAGGGCAGGCCCGGCCTGGCCGTGGGGGAGCCTGAGGCTGGTGGAGCCCTGGAGGGGGGTGGGCTTCCGAGAAGCAGGTGGTTCTGGATCGCGTCACCTAGCCAGGGGACCCGCGGACCCTCCTAGTGGGAACTGCAGAGCGAGTTGAGCTGAGAGCCGGAGGCGGAGACGTGGCGAGGGTGGTCAGCCGTGGGGGGCGGGGCGGCCACCCACTGACCAGGGTAGGAAGCTGGGGGTGGTTGGGGTGGGTTCCTGGCTGACGTGAAGGGAGAGGGCGTCTGGGGGCTGGTCGCTGCCCCTTCCCATCACCTAGCACCACTGGCCGACTCTGCTGGGTGCTTTGTGTGGTGGGAGTGATGGCCTGCAAGACATGGTGTCAGCCCAGCACTACCCACTGGTCCCGGGACGGGGAGCCAGCATTGGTCAGCCTCTGGAGACCTTCACCTCGGGAGTGGTCTGGGAGTGTGCAGGGCACGGAGCAGCCACTTGCTTTCCAAATGGTGCTTGGTGGGCAGGCCCAAGGCCCCAGGTCTTTCTCGTGGCTGGACGCTGGAGGCGGGCAGCAGCTGTCTGAAAGGGCCGGGCGCCTGTCCTGGGAGCCATTCCATTGGGTGTGGGGTGCACGTGACCACATGCCAGCTCCTGGTGTGTAGCTCGGGCTCGAGCCGTGGCGCCATGTGGGTGAGCTCCCTGGGCAGTGCCGCCTGGGGCAGACAACGGGCTCCCCCTCAGAGAGGAGCGGAGCAGGTTGGCGGCTGGACTGGGTCCCCGCGTCACCAGAGCTTTCCAAGGCGGGCAGCCGTGTGGCCCGGGGAGGCAGGGCCAGGCTGCCACTCCTGCACCGGGTGCTCATCCTTCTGCCCCCAGTGGGTCCTCCCTTGCTGTCCCCTTCTGTTTCTAGCTCAAGGCTGTACTGCCTGGTCCCCCTGCCCTGGGTCTGGCCGCTCCTGGAACTTTGAGTCCTTGGCCTCCTCCCCCTGTCCCACAGGCAGCGGCAGCTGAGGCTCAGCTCTGCGCTGCCTCCGTGTCAGGGCCACCCGAGTCCCCGGCTTCCTGGGCTGGGTTCCCACTCGGCTGTGGTGCTGCCTCAGCCTGGTGCTCACAGGGCTCCCCCCGCAGGCTGAGCTCGGGGCTCTGCTTGAGCACAGCTGTGAATGGGGGACCCCGAGGGGCAGGCAAGGGTGTGAGCCCTGCGTTTCCTCCTGCCTTGCAGAGCGCAGGCCCCGGGACCTCCAGCGGGCCCAGTGGAGACCACAGTGAGCTGGTCACCCGGATTGCCAGCCTGGAAGTAGAGAACCAGACCCTGCGAGGGGGTGAGGCCCTGGGCTGGTGGGGGGCGGGGGGTCCCACCCTGGGCCTGATGGGGGGGTGTCCTGACCTGGGCCCTGCGTCCGACCAGCATCCCTGTACCCCCACAGTGGTGCAGGATCTGCAGCAAGCTGTCTCCAAGCTGGAGGCACGGCTGAGTGCCCTGGAGAAGAGCTCACCTGCCCACCGGGCCACTGCTCCACAGACCCAGGTGAGGGCCCACCCCCACCAGGGACCCCCGGCCTGGCGCTGGGGAGCTGGGGGCTCTTTGTAGGCCGGCCCAGGCAGCAGTGAGGGGCAGGGGCCTGGGGTCCTGCCTGTGTGGGTCTCAGCCTCCACACCCGCTCCCCCCGCCACGGTAGCACGTGTCTCCCATGCGCCAAGTGGAGCCACCCAGCAGGAAGGTGGCCACCGCCACGGAGGACGATGAGGACGACGACATTGACCTGTTCGGTAGCGACGAGGAGGAGGACAAGGAGGCTGCCCGGCTGCGTGAGGAGAGGCTGCGGCAGTACGCAGAGAAGAAGGCCAAGAAGCCTGCCCTGGTGGCCAAGTCCTCCATCCTACTGGATGTGAAGCCTGTGAGTGGCTCACCTCCGACCTTCCCCTCCCCTCCCCATGCCTGGGGTCCTGGAGGGGTCAGTGATGGGCAGGACAGGTGTAAACTCGGCCTGTGCCCCTTCCCTCTCACCTCAGTGGGATGATGAGACAGACATGGCCCAACTGGAGGCCTGTGTGCGCTCCGTCCAGCTGGACGGGTTGGTCTGGGGGAGCTCCAAGCTGCTGCCCGTGGGCTACGGCATCCGCAAGCTGCAGATCCAGTGTGTGGTGGAGGACGACAAGGTGGGGACAGACCAGCTGGAAGAGGAGATCACCAAGTTCGAGGAGCACGTGAGTGAGGGGGCGTGCTCAGAGATGCAGGGGTGTCCCACATGAACCCCTGGCCAGGTGCGTGGGACTTTCGGAAACAAGACCCCGTGTGACCACCAGCCTCCCTGTCTGCAGGTGCAGAGTGTTGACATTGCTGCTTTCAACAAGATCTGAGCCCTGACCTGAGCCTGTGCAGCCTTGCAGCCAATAAAGACAGATAGATTCCAGCCCTCTGGCTCCTGTGTGTCCTAGTCTGGGCCCTGTGGGTGGGCACATCCAGGGAGTGCCCTTGGCCTGGGTCCCTGGTGTGGCTGTGCGGGCACCCCTCTGCTTGCCCATCCCATCCCCTCCTCACTTAGCTCTCAGTTGCAGTGCCCAGGTCGAACCCTAACAGCGTGGATTGTCTCCTCCACTGGGGAGCGGGGGCTACCCAGTCCCCCACCATCTCCACTCCGCCTCCTCTTTTTGAGTTATCCCCATGGGTACAAAAGTGCCAGCCTGGAACCATCCAGGGAAGAGGTCCCAGTGGCCGTCCTGACCATGCCTTTGTGACTATAGATAGTCACCTGTGGGAGACCCTGTGCGCATCTATGTCTAGGAACGAGGTGGGGTTTTTTCCTTTAGCCCTGCCCCTCTCCCTCCAGCCCTGGAAGGGCACCCATCACCCCACCTTGCACACACACACCCACTGGAGAGAGACCTGGGCCCCTGACAGACCCCAGGACACACTACCCCATGGAGCTGTGCCCCTGGCCCGCCTGTGCCCCCCTCAGCCTCTGGTCTGGGCAGGATTGTGTCACAAGTGGTTCCTCCCTGGATCTGGTGTGACTGGTGAGGAAGAGTGAGTTGTTGGGGCCTCCAAGGCCCCTTAGGATTCCTGTGGGGCTTAGGGTGCAGGACTGGAGAGCCTTCCATGCCAGCTGGTGGACAAGAAGTCCCCTTACTAGAGTTGGCACCACGTTTCTCCTAGGACAGTGTGGGCTTGCCGCAGTGTGGTGGTGGCCCAGAGCTGCCCGGGGGTGTGGAGTTCGCATTGCCCTCTTTTACCTTCCTTAACACTGCACGGAGCCGCAGGAGGCAAGGGACAAGACAGACGGCCCCCACGGGGCCGACCAGGGGTAGCAGACGCCCCAGCTGGAGTCCATCTTCAGGAACTGCTCCCCGGCCCGCCCCGTGGGTTCTGGTTGCCAGGAGAGGCGGTCACGCCCCGGTGGCCCAACCTCTCAGCTCCAACCCTCTGGCGGGGCGGGCCCCGGCGAGCGGGGACGTCAAGCGGGCAGGCGGGGCGGCCAGAGTCCGGGGCGATGGCGGCGGAGCAGGACCCCGAGGGGCTCGCGGCGGCGCGGCCGCTGCTCACCGACCTGTACCAGGCCACCATGGCGCTGGGCTACTGGCGCGCCGGCCGCGCGCAGGACCAGGCCGAGTTCGAGCTCTTCTTCCGTCAGTGCCCGTTCGGCGGAGCCTTCACCTTGGCCGCGGGGCTGCGCGACTGCGTGCGTTTCCTGCGCGCCTTCCGCCTGCGGGACGCAGGTAGGCCCCGGCCTGGCGAGCCCCCGCGCGCGCGCCCCAGAGCCCCCGCCCGCAATGGCCTCTGCCGCCCCCAGACGTGCAGTTCCTGGCTTCGGCGCTGCCCTCAGACACAGACCCTGCGTTCTTTGAGCACCTTCGTGCCCTCGACTGCTCTGGGGTGACGGTGCGGGCCCTGCCCGAGGGCTCCCTCGCCTTCCCCGGCGTGAGTGCAGGCGGTGGGACGCGGTGGCGGAGAGGGGCCGGCGAGCGGGGCAGGGCGGCACCGAGTGACAGCCCGCCCCGCAGGTGCCGCTACTGCAGGTGTCCGGGCCGCTGCTGGTGGTGCAGCTGCTGGAGACGCCGCTCCTCTGCCTGGTCAGCTACGCCAGGTGGGGCTCGGGGTGGGAAGGCCCGATCCTGCGAGTGGGAGGGGCCTTCCCGCCGGCCTGTGGGGCGAGGCCCCGTGGGGGCGGGGTGGGGGTGGAGCTCGGGCCCGCTCCCATTCCTGCTGCGCGGTGTCTAAAGAGAGGCCGGGCCGGGTAGCTTCCTGGTTGTCACTCCGGTCCCCTACTCCCCGGCTCCCACAGCCTCATCGCCACAAATGCCGCGCGCCTTCGCCTGATCGCAGGGCCCGACAAGAGGCTGCTGGAGATGGGGCTTCGGCGTGCTCAGGGCCCCGACGGGGGTCTTACTGCCTCTACCTACAGCTACCTGGGCGGTGAGGGCCAGGAAGGGAGGAGGAGTTTAGCCCCGAGACCTACCCCCTTCAATGTCTGAAGTCCCCCAACTTTACCCTGATCCAGGCTTCGATGCCAGCAGCAACGTGCTCGCAGGACAGCTGCGGGGCGTGCCGGTGGCCGGGACCCTGGCACACTCCTTCGTCACTTCCTTTTCAGGCAGCGAGGTGCCCCCTGACCCGGTCAGTACCCCTGTCCCCCTAGCTACATTCCAGAGCCATCCCTTTCCCTGAAGGAGGAGGCGCCATTCCCTGCTCAGCTCTCAGGCAGGTACCATGCCTGGCCCATCCAAGCCACCTTGGGCTGGTGTCTCGGTGTGGCGCTGGCAGACGGGCGCTCAGACTGTCTACTGGGGCAAATCAGCACCCCCACCACGCTCTGGGTCCTCCGTTCTTCACCCCTCTCCATAGATGTTGGCTCCGGCGGCTGGTCAGGGCTCCCAGGTGGATCTGGCTGCCAGCGTGGAGACGTGGCTGGAGCGCGTGTGTGGCCACCTGGGGCTGGGTGTGCAAGAGCCGCACCGGGGGGAGCGGGCAGCCTTTGTGGCCTACGCCCTGGCTTTTCCCCGGGCCTTCCAGGGCCTGCTGGACACCTACAGTGTGCGGAGGTGAGGCCCGGCCACACCCCGGGGTGGTCTCGGCAGAGGAGCTGCAGAGCCCCCCATGCTGACCCTCCTGTCCCGTCCCCAGGAGCGGGCTCCCCAACTTCCTGGCTGTAGCCCTGGCCCTGCAGGAGCTGGGCTACCAGGCAGTGGGCGTGAGGCTGGACAGTGGCGACCTGCTTCAGCAGGCTCGGGAGATCCGCGGGGTCTTCCGGACAGCTGCGGCCCAGTGAGTCCCTGGGAGGGGCTTTGTCTGCTGAGAGAGCCCCTCCAGTTGAGGGGAAGGAGGAGGGAGGCTCTCTGATGCTACCCGAGTCGCGATGCTGCAGTGGGCGAGGAGGCTGCGCTGGGCTCGCTCAGGGGCCTGTAGGTATGAAGGCTTGAGCCAGACCAGCAGGTGGTAGAGGGCGGCTGGACAGGTCATGGGGGCTGCGGGAGTCGGGAACATCCGAGGGGCTCCCCCGCCACAGGTTTGGGGTGCCCTGGCTGCAGTCAGTCCCCATTGCTGTCAGCAACAACATTGATGAGGAGGAGCTGGCCCGGCTGGCCCAGAAGGTGGGCAGGGCAGGGGCAGGCCAGAGGGTGGCGTGGGGGCCCTGGGCCTGCACGTGCTGGCCGAGCTCAGTGCCCACCCTCTCCCTTCCAGGACAGTGAGGTGAATGTCATTGGCATCGGCACTAGCGTGGTCACCTGCCCTCGCCAGCCTTCCCTGGGCTGTGTCTACAAGGTGGGGTGCAGTGCGAGTGGGCTGGGGGTGGACTGGGAGTCCGGGGAGAAGGTCCAGCTAGCCCAGCACCCTGTCTCCACAGCTGGTGTCTGTGGGAGGCCAGCCGCGGATGAAGCTGACTGAGGACCCCAAGAAGCAGACATTGCCTGGGAGCAAGGCTGCCTTCCGGCTCCTGGGCTCTGATGGTGAGGCCCCCTCCACTCTCCTCAGTTCAGTTCCGAGCCCCAGGCCCCTCACGTTATTCTTGGCGCCCCTCACGTGCACACACACACAGGGTCTCTACTGTTAGACGTGCTGCAATTGGCAGAGGAGCCACCTCCCCAGGCTGGCCAGGAGCTGCGAGTCTGGCCTCAAGGGGCCCGGGAGTCCCGTACTGTGAGGCCAGCCCACGTGGAGCCACTGCTGCGACTCTGGGTCAAGCAGGGACAGGTGATCACCCCTACCCATCCCCGAGTCTGCACCTTCAACCCAGACCAAGCTCTGACATCTGACCTTGCGCTCCTTCCCGCCTCCCAACAGCTGTGTGAGCCGCTGCCATCTCTGGCTGAATCCAGAGCCTTCGCCCAGCAGTCCCTGCACCGTCTGAGCCCTGCCCACAGGCGGCTGGAACAGCCAGCACTGTACCAGGTGCGTGCAGGCCTACATCCTCAACCCAGCCTGTGCTCTCTGCCCCCATGGCCCCATCACCCCCACGTCTCCCCCCTGCAGGTCGCACTGTCTGAGAAGCTCCAGGCCCTGGTGGACAGACTGAGTGCCAGAGGAGCCCTCTGACAACCTCATGCTGGGACCTGCCTGAAATTAACATGAGTCATTCACTGTCCCCACAACTTGCCATGTGTCATTTCTTCATCCAACCTGCCACTCGCTGGATCCTCAGGGCTTCCTGGGGTGGACTGGAGTCAGGAATTAGTGAGAGGGTTTAAGCTCCCAGGGGAGACCCCAGGCTGGCCAGGGTTCGGGAAGCAGCCCGGTGCTGAGGCCTGAGGTCAGCTAAGGCTTGTGGGAGGGTGTCCGAGGCTTGAGGAGCTGGACTCTAGGGGCAGATTGGGGGCAGGGCAGGGCTGTAGGGAAACGGGGGCCGTCTTGGTGCCCAACTAAGAGCTGGGGGAGTGGCTGGGAGACCTCAGCCTCTGAGGCTGGAGGTGGGAGCCACGGGGTGGGTTGAAGCACCAGCTGGAGGGGCTCTGGGATTCCCCCCAGGAAGGCTCGCTGGGATACCTCCACCTCCCCAAGGGGAGGCCTGGGTGTCCCCTGCCACTGCTGCTGGCAGGCCTGCGGGTCCCTGTGCCCCGGGCTCCGCCCATCCGGCTCCCTCTCGGGCTCCAGCATGTCACAGTGTGGACCAGGCCTCGGTCGTGGGGACCCAGCTGCTGCCCGCAAAATGCCAGGAAAGGCGTGGAGCGGTGGGGCCTGCCTGACTGAGCCAGGGAAGAAATTAGGGAGTAGGGGCCCGCCCTGGGCGCCCGGCCAGGCCCTGGCTGCCCTGCCTCTGTGCCGCAGGCCTGTCAGGTCTCCACCGGCTTCCGCTCTAGCAGAGCCGCTCAGGAGGGAGGGTCGAGGCTCTGTGGGACACGGGGGCCAAGGCCTCGGCCTCCTGTCT